TGCTTCACAGGTTGAAAGCGAGTTAGACAGAATTCAAAGGGAATATGAGGATCTTCTCTTGCAATATGAAACCGAGGTAAGAGCTTGTTCTTCTCAACATCAGTAGTTTTTGTTTTCTGTTTCTTATTTCTCGACACCTTTCCAATAGAGAATCATCAACGAAATACAAATTGAGTGCCTTAAGGCAAAGTTGAGTGAAGATGGTTTATCTAGTGAAGCAAAATGTAAGCATTTAGATTGTCAAGGCGTTGGAAATGTGCAATTGGATGAAAATAGTGGACGTCTTAGAGATCCAGAAGCTATTCTTCTCATTAAGCAGCTCCAAGAGAAGGTGTATTTTTTTTCCTTTACCTACAAGTGGAACGCTTATTTTAAGTAGCTTTTCTCTCTTCCATTTTGATTCTTTGCTTAACCTTGATATGTTTTGTCCAAAAGATAAACATGCTGGAAATGGAGAAGGCTTCAAGCAAGCAAAATCTTGATGATCTCGTCACAGTAGCTACTGACCAGAATATATGTGCCAGGGAAAAAATTGCTGAGGTATTGTGCTTTGCTGTTCTGTCCAGCCACCTAGAAAAATAATAGCCTTCGAACTTCATAGTATATCTGACTAATGAATTTGAGAAATTGGTTAGAAGGTTAGAAAATAAATTTCTAAGTTTATGATCATATCGTTTTAGTTTGCTAACATTGTTTTGGGAAAATGTGATCTGTTTATCACATAGACTCTTATTATTAACAGATGTTCTTGGTCAAGGAAAACCAATTTATTCTCTATTCTACTTTATAATCGTCCCAAATCCAACATTGCCTAACCTCACAGAGCTTAAGATACAATTGTTGATTGTAAATGGAAACACCATTCTTGAATTGTTGATGACCTTTCTTTTTGCATTATGGATTTTTCGTCTTTCTTTGCTCAACATGAAATATATATATTTTTATTTCAGTCAGCTTTCTAGTCTTGTTTGGTACTACTTTTACGATTTTAAACCTTCTTATGTTGTATGAAATTCTATAGATTCAAGAAGAGATCCACGCTGCTAGAGAAGAGGCCCAGGTTGCTCATGAACAACTTGTGTCCAAGGAGTCTGAAGTTATTCAAGTGCTTAATGTTGGTTTCCACTTTAAATTCATCCTATTAATCTAAAAATCTCAAGGCAGATTATCATTGTTGTCAACGATTTCGCCATTGCCTAAATGTTTTTTTTTTAACTTGTTATTGTGAAGGAGAATTTTAACTCTCTGGTCAACGTAACAACAGAAGTTGAAGTCTTAGTGTCTGAATTTCAAAAATCCAAAGCATCAGTGGAAACCATATCGTTAGTTATGGATGAGGGTCTCCAAGATTTTGCCTTCTTTTCTCCTTTGATGCATGTAAGTACTCTGCGTCGTTTGGTATATTCTCTTGCATCGTTTACTTCTGTGGGGTATAAACTGTGTTTAGTATAGCATACTTCGATTATGGTTGGTAGGAAAAAGATAGACAATCATGATCTTATAATTTAAAATTTCTCACTGCAGGACTTCACCTTGTTTTTGCGCGAAAGCTTTGAGAAACATGCTTCACTTATCAGCAGCTACCAAAATGTCCAATCTTGTCTGAAACAGAAAGTTCTTGATATTGAGAATGAGAAGGTCTGACACTTTTTGTTCTCTTCTCACCCTGCACCTGATGGTAAATTTGTGGGTATTTTTAGCTTAATTCGTGATATTCCTATTCAGCTTCATTTGCAAGAGCAAAGCGCTGATCTGCAAAGCCAAATAGAAGAACTAAATCAGGAAGCCCAAAAGCATGAAACTTCCTTAATGGTATCTCTGCCTCAAACAAAATTTATTAGAGTTCTTCTTTTCTTCCTCCAACTTTCCAGTTGTTAGAAGTAACTTAATGTTTTCAACCATTTTTCAGATGCTCTCAGAACATCATGAGTCAGAGAGGTCAGATCTTCTCTCTCACATAGAATGTCTTGAGAAGGATATATCAAGTCTGTCATCCTCTTCCTTGGCCAAAGAGAAGGATAATCTAAGAAAGGATTTTGAGAAGACGAAAACAAAGCTAAAAGACACTGAATCCAAGCTTAAGAATGCCATGCAGGATAAAACCAAGCTAGAGGTGTGCGGCGGAACCCAATTCTAAACGTACCTATTTATAGTACTAGATTGAATAACCCATCGAAGTTATACAATTATTTTGATGTTCGATTAAGGCCGAGAAAGCATCTGCTGAGAGAGAGTTAAAACGCTTGCATAGCCAGAAGGCCCTCCTCGAGAGAGATATCAGCAAACAGGAGTCCTTTGCTGGTAAAAGGCAGGACACTCTTATTGTTGAGAGAAGTGCATACCAGTTGTTGCAGGTATTATCCAAATATTTCTTTTGCCGCATGATTTTTTTTTTTACCATTTTAATATCGAGTAACATGTCGTCAACATATTATTATCAATGTCGGAATGTAATCTCGAAATCTCAGAAGAGAATAAATGTGAGATATCATTATCGCATTGCAGCATATCTCTCTCCGCTGACTGAGTTTGGGTTCTGTTGAAACACTGTGTGAGCATGCCTGACAAAATTGTTATTTCTATGTTTTGGTATCTTTTCTCAGTGGTTATCCATATCAGTCTTTTTGGTGGACTTACCTTTTGTTTACATGGAATGCTCATTATCATGTCTACTTCATATTTATCAGGAAGACTTTCAAAAGCTTGAAGTGCTTGCTTTTGAAATGGAAACAACAATTGCTTCACTGGAAGAGGAGCTCGCTGCTGAACGTGGAGAAAAGGAGGAGGCGCTATGTAGAAACGAAGTTTTAGATTCAGAAATTACAGCTCTGACAGAGAAACTGGAGCACTCAAATACCCAACTAGAACATCTGCAAATAGATGTCACCGAGCTTGTACGTCTTTTGGTGCAATTGATTATTGATCCAGACGTTGTTGATACTGAATTTGAAGCAATTAGTGTATTCCGAGGCATAGTGCGTTTGCTCAACCGTATGTTATCTTTTGTTACAGAAAACAAGACTTGAAGGCTCATCTTCTGATCAGCAACAACTGGAAACTAATGTTAAACAGTTGCTTGAAGAAAAGGAAGAGCTAGCAATGGTATGATGGTGCTGAAGACAGATTTTGAACTTAGTTCTTGTTTGTGTAAATCCTATAATTTGTCCTGTTATTCAGCATCTGGCGAACTCACTTTTGGAGTTGGAGGAGGAGAAAGCAATATGGAGCTCGAAAGAAAAAGCTTTGACAGAGGCCTTTGAGGAAAAGATTAGACTATATAATATACAAATTGAGTCACTATCTAAAGAAATGTCAGAGGTATGTTCGAAACAAGAAACTTGTTATATTGAGATTAAAAACCGAAATTTTCTTGCAGCATCATGGTCATCAAATCATTTTGGATGTTACCTTTTAGAACTATCAACTTGCTAAACTTTCTTAGGTATTGCTTATCCTATTCATACCTGTTTGGATTTAGAGTGGTGATTTTGGAATTATCATGAAAAGTTCTGCATAAATGTCATCAGCATGAACTCCCTGTAGCGATAACCAAAAATCATTTGGTTTCTAATCGTTTCTTATGCTTTCTCAGTTTCTCTACATCTAATTATATGTTCTGAAGGAAAAACCCTTTTCTCAACTTTTATCATGCTCTTTCCCTTTGAATTTAGGCAAAGAGGGAGCTGGAATCATGCCGACTTGAATGTGTTACCCTTTCTGATAGGCTAAGATGTTCTGAGGAAAATGCTGAGCAGGAAAAAGAATGCAGGTTTGTACTTTTCATTTCTCTTACTTGAGAAAGTGAAAAATTTATCTCTACTCTGAAAATAACTCTTGTTAAGCTTTCCGGCACTTGGTTTATCTGTATCTTTCTAGTTGATGCTATCACTCCTCTGACTTGGGTATTATTTATGTTTTCCTGTAGCATGGAGAAGTCTTTGAAGAATGATAGACTAGGTGATGAACTTCGGTCAGCTCATGCCGTGAGTAAGCAATCTCAAGAGGTAAGAATCATTTCACTAGTTTTGCGAAGGTTTTCTTTCTGAACGTCTGATACAGAGGTTGTGTTACATTTTTGCAAATAGAAAACTAAATGTGTATTAATGCTGATAACAATATGCCTGACTTTCTGGTTATGGTATTCATGCTTCTGGTATGTCAAGACCAGAAGCCATCACTTGCAAGATTGCTTTGTTAGAGATGCAAAGTTTTATACACAAATTTTTTATGTGCGCCTCCAGGTTCTCAAGTCTGATATTGACACTCTAAAGGCCGAACTTCAAAGTGCTTGCGAGATATCAGACACACTTCAGAGAGAGCTTAATTACATCACAAGTGAGCGCCAGAGTTTGCTAGCTCACATAGCGGAGTTGAATAAGGAACTCGCTTCATCAAATCGTTTGCAGGTCGGGTTAAGAGCACAAATTCTATTATAGATATAGTATTATCCATTCATTCTCACTAAACCCTATACTGCTGTCAGATTGAAGATACAAAAATTCTATCTGAAGAACTAACTCCTAGAGTCTCAAGCCAAGAAGCTAAGATGTGCAAGGTAATGCCAACTGAAATGTGTGATTATTTTTCTCTCTGTGACTAAGATTGTTTCTTTACTCCAATGAACCGACGGAAAGAAAACTGATAGTTTCAACAAGATTGATTCATTTGATTGTGTGCGACAGTTTCTAAATTTTCCGATGTAACCAATTTACATATTTCTGCTGTATGTGACTGGCAGGATGCAGATGCAGACAAAAAGGAGAAGGCAAAGCTTAAAATGAGACTCAGGGGGACGCAAGCACGCTTAGATGCAATATGTCTAAGGCACAAACAATCTGTGAAAGAATCAGAACTTATGAACAAGAAGTTCGAGGAAGCATCTGCAAAGCTAAAGGAGAAGTTAGCATCAAAAGCACTCGAAGTCCTCGACCTTAAGAAACAGCTCTCTGCTTCTTCAAGAACAATGTGATGAAGTTAAACAGCATAACTCTTAATTAGTAATTAATTCAGGGCTAGTAAATGTTTTTAAGCTGTAAACTTTCAAAGTGGTTCTAGAATGTGATTAATGCAAAGCGTCAATACATATAGAACATTATGAGAGATGGATTAACAAATTTTATGGAGGTAATTAAGAGGAGAAATCAAGGGCATTTTGGTCCACCGAGCTTAGTCTTCCAGTTATTGTAGCAAGGACAGACTTGCTTGTTGCCATAAGTACCTGGAGGTACACACAAGCACTTGGTACAACATTTGTTGCAGAAGAACAAACATGGCTTCTTGTATTGTGTATTTGAGCATCTTTCTCCACATCGTGGCCTGCACTCTAATATAGTTGAAAAAATGGATTACATTTTGGATTCACCACAAACTATTCATCGGAAACTAGACAAATAATTGGTTTACCTTGGGGTTGAAGACTGCCTTCAGTAGTGCCGTACTGTCAAAATCAACAAGAAGATTCCAAGGATGTTAAACAAAAAAAAAGGGGGGTTTCATAAAACTCACTTTTTTTTATTAGTTGTGAAACCGAAGAAACTCACTTGAGAGCTATTGTAATGCGGTGGTTGAGGTTGCGACTGTGGTGGATGTGGTTGTGGAGCAGGAGATTCCAAGTGTATTTGCTGTGAGTATTCAGGATGTATAATATAAAGTTTTGATGAATGTGAAGAATTGAAAGAAGCAATTACATAGATCGTAAAATAGATAGAAAAAAGTGTTCGAACACTTACATGCATTTGAGCAGACAAAAGAAGATGTAAAATAACAATGGAGAAAACAACGGTGTAAAGTTTGATTCCCATTTTAGGTAATAGAAATGATTGTAATGAAGCTCAGGTAGATGGTTTCTTTTGCAGATTAATCTCGCAACGAACGAGGATAGGGGTCAATATATATAGTCCAATTTCCAACAACAAAAAAAACTTAAAAACAAATATGCTCTGTTATTAATTTTTGGCTTAGTAGAAGTCGTACCAAACTTATTTTTTGTTTGACCATTATAGTTTTCATACAACGTCATTATTATATGCAAATTTATTTCAAAGAGAGGACAAGAATTTTGTCGCTGCTAAATAGTTCTCTTTAAAAAATATATGTATGAATAATTCATGTGAGAATCTGTTTGACTCCAAAACTAATTTGGGATTTAAATCTCACATTTAAGTTAAAGAAGCTCTTAATCATCATTCCATTTGGTTTGAAAATAATTAAGTAAATAGTCAAGTCCTGATTTTATACAAAAAAGTTCTGATTAATTACAAAGAACTTCTGTACCTTAAAAATATTATCTCTAAAATCGTGTTTTATCATTTATGTATATAATTTTATGGAATAGCCGTTCAGGTGTTATCAAAAGTGTGGTCGTAGAACCAATCTAGACTTCATGTTCCCAATCTTGGGCATGTGAATCAGAGAGCAGTAAGTTGTGATAACGAAAGAAAACGCAGCTTATATCACATGCGTGTTGTTGCTGCTTTTAGCCCTATCTCTTACTCGTGACTCCAATATTTTTTGCCCAAATTATTCTTTATTTTTGTGATTTGTTTCTAAATGTTCTTGGAGACGAAATTAATCAAGAAAGACACGTGACGAGAAGTTTTGGGATTCGAAGTGAATTTCATATTTAGGCATCCCCGTGATCTCAATATGTCTGCATTCCAAGCCTCTGCATGTGGTGGAGACAATGGCGTCGCGTAGATCGTAAGGCGTGAGTAATTCAGAAGTTTAGAAATCATCAAATGCTTCTTTTTTGTTTAGTTCTTTAAATTTACAATCAACGAAAATAAATGTTTGAGGCGATATATATATATATATATGACCATCTCAATTCTCAACTACTCTATAATCTTTTTGTTTGAATTAAATGAAATCAATCAAAACACCAAATTGTGTTTCCGAACAAATAAACAAAAAGGTACAGATGCCGTTTTAGTTTGTTAATTAATATGCTTTTGAAGGTTGTGAAAGAAAAGAAAAGAATAAATACAAAATGATTTTCATTTTAGCCAAATTTTCGAATGGGTTATATTTACGAATTCGGGCCACGGCCCATGATAAAAGAAAAGAAAACGCAGGCCCATTTTACCACATGTTAAAGACACATTTTGTCTCACCCGCGGTTAAGAGAGAGACAGAGAGAGAGAGAGATCAGAGATAGAGACAGCCCTAATTTTCCGATGATGATGCCGGCGAAGAATCTTAGATCCGTCATGAAGTCTGTGCTGTCTGGCCGTAGTTTCTCTTCATGTCCTAATTGTGGCAATGGTAACGTTTTCTGCTGTTTCTATGAAATTCGCAAGCGTATATATGGGTTGGTTTCGTTGTATACGTATGCGAGATTAGAGAAATATATATAAAAATTGTCATCTCTGTGATTGATTGATTGTAGATAAATTGGAACCAGTAGTGGCTAACTCGGAAGCAGAAAAGGCTGTTGCGATAATCCGCAGGTGTTCTAACGTTTTTGGAGTGTATTGGGGCTTCCGCATTGGTAAGATAAAGCATTTATTATCTTTAGTATTTTCTCTGACAACTCGTAAGTATTAAGTCATCCGGAAGTTTTTTTTTTTTTTTTTTTGTTGTTTCTGTGTTTAGGTTTTACGATATGTGGAGACTTTGATCCGGCAGCCGAAAAGGCAAAAGCGAAGAAGGCTAAGAGGGGAGTAAAGTCTGAGTGAATCGTCGATAAAGGAATAGGAAAGATATGTTGGTCTGATAATAATGAACTATGAATATATGGAGCTTGTCTTATCTTTGTTTAACATTAGGGGCTATGATATGATCATGATTCACTTTTTGTTATTACATATGAATTGATTACCCAAAGGTAAGAGTACGTAGTTGTATCTCCACAGTACATCACAGTGAATGTTTGCAAAGTTGTCAAATGGGAAATATATATCATATCATATGTCTCGTTAATATTCCTTCATCTTCCTCTTCTACTTCTTCCTCCTTCCTCATCCCAGTATGTTTCTAGAATCTTCATCGCCATCTCCTAAATGTCATTGTTCTGATCATGAGATTGCAAGCTTTCGGTTTTTTTCTTTTTCTTTTCCAGTCCTTCGACGTCTCTTGTGTAGCAAACTTGTACCAAGAACCTTCAGTATCTTATCAAGTGCTTCTAAACAAAACATGACAAGTTAAGTATCTGAGAGGATATGTAAGAAGATGGCAAAAAGGTTTTATGCAGCCTTGCTTTACAAGAAACCTGACATTAGCAGAGATCATGTGTAAGCTTATGGAAAGAAAGAAACTATTTGGTTTATAAAAGATCTATTGTACCGGAACTTCCGGTACGTAATGATAACCACTAAACCGCATGAGGAAACTTATTATATCTCGCCCTAAATTTCCGAAAAAAAGGAGAACGAAGAAATCAGAGACAAACAAACCCTAGTTTCCGAGTCATGCTACCGAGGAATCTGAGATCCGTCATGGCGCACATAACTCGCGGAGGAGGGAGAACGATTGTTATGCCTCGCGCCAATTTCTGTTCATCTCCTCCGAGTAGCAGCGGCTAACTTTCTCTAATTATTTCCCATGAATTTTGGCCAGCGTCGGTCGATCACTTGTGTTTATTTTTGATTTTTGTTTCAGTTCCAGCCGAGCCTTTGATGTTAATGATAATGAGAAATTTCAATGTGGGGGTAAGGAGGGGACTTGTGGGATACGTTGTTTGGGGTTAATTTTTCGTTTTTTTCTTTTCTCTATAAACAATTCAGAGTGTGAAGAAAAAACAAGTTGATGATTGCTTCTTTTTTTTTTTTTTTCATACTCAAAGAAATTTCAAGGATGGTTCATTACGACATCATGAATCTATTTGAGGTATGAATTGTTTTTTTTTTTTTCTTGTTTTTCTTTACATTTGGGGGATAGAAAATTAGAAAGTTGTAACTAGAATCTCCTCTCCATTTGTGTTTTCAGGAATCCGAGGCTGAGAGGCGGCTCAGGGTAATGAAAGAAAATGAAATGGTAACTAATGGTTGTGTTTGATGCTCCCATGCAACTAAAATAATTGAATAAAGTAGTAATGTGTGTTTCTTTTGTGTTTAGTTTTCTGTTTTTGATGCTGCCATGTGAACAAAATATATAACTTATCTATGGTTGTGATCATGTTGCCTTGTTTTTTTGTTTTCTTTCATTTGTGTTTCTGGAATTTTGCAGCTTTTTGTTTATATTTCCCCTCCCCTCTCTTTGCAAAAATGTTGTGGAGAAGAAGAGAATGACCTATCTAGTTGTGACAGAGAGAGACTGTGTCTCGATCTTTAACTTGTTTCATTTAAATCCGTTTGCCGTTTTTCTCAGTCCACACTTTTTAAAAGTGTCTAAAAGATGAAAATTTTGACAATACTAGGTTAAATACTAAATTTCAAGCTGAATCCGATATTCATTCCTCTGTGGTTGTGGATATTAATCGTAGAGATGATGAAAGAAAAGAAACCAGACTGAAACTAAAACTTTCAAAAATAAGTATGGAAAAATCATGATCGTTTACTTAAACTTATGGCCCCCATTAGTTTAATTAGTTATATAACGAAAGTAATTAACAATAAGTCTACGTTAGACTTCATCATTCTCTGGCGGTTTAAGAACTTTTCGAAACACGACAGCTTCAACACCAAGCAAAAAAGAACTTACTCTTTTTTTTTTTTTGGGTTAAAGAGCAAAAAAAGAACTTACAAAAATATTATAAGAAAACAAAAAACAGAGTTTTTGAGAGATGATAGTGAGGTCAACTTCATGATGACGTGGATCTCCCCTGCGGAATTGTTCGGCAAGAGAGAGGTTTTATCTGTCGAAAGCGTCTTTAAATCTCATCCTCGAGGTTGTTTGATCATTTTATCATCGACAATGGATTCTCCTCAAGGGGTTTAGAACCTTGAGACCGTTTCTTGATCGAGGTTACAGAGGTGACACCGGATTTGCCTTTTCTGCTCAAGGACACGGCTGGAGAATCGTGGCTTGAGGAGGTTCACTTGTTGTCACTGCAAATTATATTACACTTACACTAGTAGCTTTACTTTAATGTATTTTGTTTTTTTTTTTAAATGATCAAATAGGTAAAAATTCAGACAGACGAGTTATTTAATAAATGACTGTTTGAGACAAGGTAAAAAAAAATACTTTCTTTTTTAACTTAAAATAAAAGGTAGAGGAAGAAAAATAATACTTAAAAAATAATACTTTTTTTTTCTTTCTAGTTGAATTAAATTGTATGGCTTTAATTTAGGATGAGGAAGAAGATGATTCGAAAATCAAGGTGGTGGAGAGTGGAGGCTTTCTTCCTTTTCGGCGATGGCTGCTGAGTGCTGAGCCACACTCTGGGGAACCCACTAACCCTAGAAGACGTAACATACGTTGCAATAAGTAAGAAGAGCCACACAAATATTAGACACAGACTAACGACATCGATTGCCAATCTAAGCTTTCAATGGTTGGTTTCTCTCTCCCTCTCTTCCATTCTCCTTTTCTTGCAACATCTCCTTGTATTACTGTCTGCTGAAGTTAGTGTTTAGATTGAATTTATTGGTATTCGTGTGCTCATCGATCGATCCTGTTTGCTTGTTTCAATAATGGACTGAGGCTGAATACATATGAGTGAGTGTTTCTCGTTCTTTTTTTTGGATTTTTTATCTAAGATTTATCTATGGAGTTTCTTGAGTCTTTGCATCCACATTGCTGAGGCTTTGAGAATGCTTAGTGTAGACAACTTTTGTTGCAAAGCTTTTTCTTTTTTGGAACGGAACTTTACTTGTATCTGAAATGTCGTGTATTAGAGCTCTTTATAAAACTCAAGAAAGATGTTGAGCTTCTGATGCAATCTAAAGATGTTGACTTGTTTAGTGGATATGACATTCGTTATCAGCTACGCCCATTTTTGTAAAAATGTCACTTTGGGCTTTTGAGATTGAGCAATGTCATGATTAAAAAAACAGCAACGGTTTTAGCGACTTATCAAGCTTGCTTCGGTTGCAGATTTGACGCTCCCTGATGCCCATTTATGTGAAAGGGTTTCTAAAGTGCGGAGCACCTGGAGTTCCATTCTTTTGTGACAAAAAAAAACCAACCAACTCTAAAGTAACGTGGTGCTTTCACAGTTTGCCTTCGGGCCTTGAGGGCCGTCCTCGTTTCAACAAAAGTAAGTGCATACACACGATGCTGGTTCCACTTCTTTCATGCCTGGGGCAGGTGTTCTGATTGCTCTGTTTGCTTCTCTTAGATCTTAGGTACTCAAGCAAATCAGTAGAAGCCGTGGAGAAAATTGTCATTGATATGGGTTTGAAGGAAGACAAGGCAGATAATCCAGCTTTATCTTCATATGATGATGCCATGGAAGCGCTTTCGACTCTTATTTCTCGTCGAAACCGTGGGGACCGCTCACCTACCAGTGGACGTCGTGATAAGCTTGAACAAGTCGTCGCATATCTCAAGGTGATACATCCATTTACATTCAACATTATTTGGTTAGGTGGGGCTTTCTAGTGTAAGCGTAACAAGACTGTTTAGAATATTCTCAATACTTTAGTTTAACATGAATGTTCTATAACTCATTCTGAAATGTCTTTAATGATCATGGAACCTTCTTTCTCGATGGTACTAAATAGTGGGAGTTGTGTGTCTGCTGTTTTGGTTTGACAAATACAGATTTTGGGCCTGGAGGACAAAATAACAGAACTTAAAGTTATTCATGTCGCGGGAACGAAAGGAAAAGTAAGTTGCTTTTTTTTCACTTTGGCTGCTTCATATGTAGCTCCAGGAATTTGAAAATCTTACTTGAAAAATAAGTCAGTGGAAGGAATGTTAGCACTAGATTTTATGTGAGATGATGTTGTTTCCAATTTCGAGTAATTAGCACTTAACAGAAAGAAAAAAACTCAGATCATTTGGTGAATCAACTATCTATCCTGGTATCCTATGGTGTCATCTAATGCACGTCTGCGTCCACAAGAGGCTATTTTCCTCAAAAGTTTGGAACTTTCGTGGTTTATAATTATATAGTTTATGCGGTATGAAAGTAATATTCTTGAGTAGTATATCCATAAGTAGCTACTGATTTTCGTGGTTTGCCTTGGTGTTTGTGTATTTCAGGGTTCAACATGTGTCTTCTGTGAGGCAATTTTACGTAATTGTGGGTTTCGAACTGGAATGTTTACATCTCCTCACCTGATCGATGTGAGGGAAAGATTCCGAATAGATGGGTAAGTTCATTAGTATATTGATAGTCAATGCTACATGAACACTGAGACCAATTTGAATGCTGTTTCACTTTTCCAGCTTGGATATATCTGAGGAAAAGTTTCTACAGTATTTCTGGGAATGTTGGAAGTTACTGAAGGTAAAAGAACCTTGTCGATATGCAGTGCTTTTGGTTCCAGTTCGAGATGTATGATTAGATATAGTCTTTTAAGTATTATTCATCACTCACTTTCTGCCACTAATTACCAGAAGTCTACAATTTGCATTGGTTTATGGCAACTTCAAATTTTGAGTCTGTTCTGTTGTATTTATGGAATGAGAGGAGAAGGAACTGTGAAGCGTCAATTCTATACTTCAGTTTTTTTGGCCTTGATCTGTGGAATATATTGGTTGGATAACCTCTTAATGCTGTCAGTAGAATAATAGTTAACTACGGGTAAACGGTGTTTATTACTAGCAAATGAAGTAGATATCTAATCGTGAGCTTCTTCTTTGCAGGAGAAAGCTGTAGATGGACTTACTATGCCTCCTCTTTTTCAGTTCCTCACAGTATTGGCATTTAAGATTTTTGTTTGTGAAAAGGTATATCACTATTTTGATCAATAAGTCTTGTGCACTTCTTTGTTTCTAAACCCAAGCAATGGTTACTTCATATTCCGTGAAAAATAGGGCCATTCTACGGTATCGTTGTGTTCCTTGAAATCCGTTAGGACGTAAATTGCTGTTATCAATCACATGATATCACTTGTTCTTGGTGATCCCATTTTCTCAAAGTATAGCTTTGCTTTCACACTTCCTTACTGTATAACTGAGCCCACAGAAACCTTACGTATTTGGCTAAAACCGGATGCTGACTACTATTGTTCCTGATAGGTTGATGTTGCTGTCATTGAAGTTGGACTTGGGGGAAAACTTGACTCAACAAACGTCGTAAGCATCTTAGGCCCTGAGTTCCTGTCAGATTTATTTAGTGTTATGACATCTATCTTCATTAAGATGGAAAATGTAAATTACAGATTCAAAAACCTGTTGTCTGTGGCATTGCTTCTCTTGGGATGGATCATCTGGATATATTGGGTATATGTCACACTATTTATTCACAGTTTATCAGGAAAATGTTCTTTCTTTCTCACGCTTTACTTTTCTAACTCTTAACATCTCAATGCTAATTCTACACAGGAAATACGCTAGCTGACATTGCTTTTCATAAGGCTGGGATTTTCAAGGTACAAACCTTCTGACCTTATAGGGTACTTTCCAAAAAGGATTCCGTTATGTCAGAATTCTATAAACGCATACATTTTTTTCAAGAGTTCCAATTAAAATTATTCATGTTGGATATTCTCTGATTTGCTCTGCTTTCTTGTATGCTAATCAAAGCCTCAAATCCCCGCCTTCACAGTACCACAACTCTCTGAAGCAATGGAGGTTCTTCAAGACACAGCTAATAATCTCAAGGTAATTATTACTGATAGATTTTATATTTCTTTCCACTTATTCCAAGTACTCCCACGGTTAGTACTAAATGTTGTTTAACCTGCGGTGCAGGTTCCTCTGGAAGTAATAGCCCCTCTTGACCTTGAAAAGTTGGATGGAGTTGCACTTGGCTTGTCTGGGGATCATCAGCTTGTAAATGCAGGTCTTGCTGTTTCTCTTTCAAGATGCTGGCTTCAAAGAACTGGGAACTGGGAGAAGATATTTCCAAAGGTTAGGTTTTGCTCTTGGTTAGTAAAAATCTATCAAAACTTTCAAAGACTTTATTTGGTAACTCTTGTTTGCTCCTTTGATCTACAGGGAAGCAAGGAATCTGAGATTCCCCTGGCGTTTTGTCGTGGTCTTGCAACAGCACGTCTTCATGGGAGAGCTCAAGTTGTTCATGATGTAGTTTCCGATCCGCAGGATTCGTCAGGCTCGATGAAAAATCCATGCGGTGATCTGATCTTTTACTTGGATGGAGCTCACAGTCCAGAAAGCATGGAGGCTTGTGGTCGATGGTTCTCTACTGCAGTCAGAGGGAACAAAAGCTTATCTACTGCTGTGAATGGTTACAGGAGACATGGGGAGTTTGGTAGAGACTTGAACAGAGTATCCAAACAGGTATTAAGACCACCAATGATCAGTGCAATTGCTTTGTTGACACAACTACTTTGCTTTCTTCTCTATTCAACGCATCACAAATTGACTTTTGTGTTTCATTCCCTGATTTGACTTGTAAAAATTCCTGTGTGTAAATAGATTCTTCTGTTCAACTGCATGGAAGTGAGAGACCCTCAAGTTTTACTTCCAAAGCTTGTCACCACTTGCGCTTCCTCAGGTAATCCGAAAACAAAAGTACAATCTGTTTTAAAAGTTCTTTGTTAAAACTAATTATGCATATTGGTGAATGGAACATTTTCAGGCACTCATTTCTCAAGAGCACTTTTCGTCCCGAGCATGTCAACTTACAACAAGGTCATCTCCGGCGCATCAGCAATTCCTTCAGATACACGTAGAAAAGATTTAACTTGGCAATTCAGACTACAAAAACTCTGGGAGAAATCAATCCGAGGAACAGGTAAAGCTTAAGTTTTACTATCTTTGTTCTTGTTTATGTCGCGCCTTAACCTTTGATCATATGTCTGATGACTAATCAGATGCTGCGCTTGACCATACACTGAAGCCAGATGGAATTACCGCTTTACCACCTCATGATTTCCTGTGTGGAGATGCACCTCATTGTGGTGGACCTGCAGGGACACATGTCAATTCCAGCGCCGTGATGCCTTCACTTCCATTGACCATAAACTGGCTACGAGACTGTGTACGCAGAAACCCTTCACTGAAACTAGAGGTAAGCTATATTCATTGTCCTCTTCAAAGCCAAGAATCAAAGCCTGATTTTTGTCTTTAGACATTTTCAGAACAAAACAGAGCATTACCATCTCTTATACTGAATTCTTCTTTGATAATATGTGGGTTTCTTATGCAACAGGTTTTGGTCACAGGATCGCTGCATCTTGTTGGAGATGTGCTCAGATTGCTAAAGAGATAATTTTATTTTACCAAATCTTGGAAAAGGCTCCTTGAGAGTAATCTTACAGAGCTTCAATTGTTTTGTACTTGACTTTTTTTTTCCTTTTCATAATTATCATTTGATTATATGGTCCATTTATCTAACATAGGAACCCTCCTCCAAGCTTTGTATTCTTCTGTTACACTTTAAAATTTTCAATTCATAATCCTCTCATGTCTCATCCAGTTAGAAGTTACGTTTTCTTTTCCATCAAATATGAAATATCCAAATTTTACTAAACGTAGAAGAAGAAAGTGTCAAAAGTTAATAACTGAAATAGACATGGACACCAAACGACAACAACAAAAGTTAAACCTTATCTTGATGAAATTCTGAAAAATGAAAGAAGATCAAAAGACAAAAGTTTATTGTTCAGTAAAATAGCTTCGTTTCAGTGATCTGATAATATGAAAAGATCATCATCACTCCTGATCTTCACCGTTCTGTCTCTTCCATTAATCTCAGCCGTAGGATGGGAGCTAAGCATACCGACAACGACGGCGAAAAGGAGTAACCTTCGGGTGCGTGAAGGATCACCGTTCAGGATCGCCATCTTTGCAGACCTCCACTTCGGTGAAGACACGTGGACTGATTGGGGTCCACGTCAGGATGTAAACTCCATTAACGTTATGTCCGCCGTTCTCGACGCTGAAACTCCAGGTCAAGTCTCTCACCGTTTAACCAGTTTTGCTAAATGCTAACATCATCATCTCTCGTTGTCTTGTTGATAAGTATTTAATTAATTACTAATTTAATCCTAATATAATAATACGATATTTGGACTTAGGGCTTTCATGTTGAAGCCTAATACATACATAATATCTATAGTTCTTGGAGGCTTTTTCCATTTGGATATGAGCTATTTGGTTAGAAATGTCACTTAAACCACATAAACTGAAGTAAGATTCGTTATATATAGCTTTGGATCTGTTTGGTGGTTTAATTTGAATCTTGTGATTGTCTTTCATGTTGTTGGATTGAAACACATTACTCTATAACCCTTTAATAAAATCATTAAATCTTTAAACTGTTAATTTTTATATACTTGAAAAACTGTATGAAAACAACTGAAAAAAACCGTTTTTTGGGAAGAAATAAAAACAGATTTTGTGGTATACTTGGGAGATGTAGTAACGGGAAACAACATAGCAATACAAAACGCAAGCTTGTATTGGGACAAAGCAATCTCACCAACAAGAGAGAGAGGCATTCCTTGGGCCACTCTCTTTGGTAACCACGACGACGCTTCTTTCGAATGGCCTTTGGATTGGTTCTCTTCTTCTGGTGTCCCTCCCATTCGATGCTCCTTTGCATCAAACTCTTCCTCGTCCTATGATGATGTTCATGGATGCGCGTTTAGAGGAACGACGCGTCTTGAATTGATTCAAGAAGAAACCAAAGCATCCATTAATAATGCACTCTCATATTCAATGATTGGTCCTAAGGAGCTCTGGCCAAGTGTCTCTAATTACGTCCTTCTCCTTGAGTCATCGGATGACTCGAAACCAGCCGTGGCATTGCTATACTTTCTTGACTCGGGTGGTGGTTCATACCCGGAGGTTATATCAAATTCTCAAGTGGAATGGTTTAAATCCATGTCCAATACTCTTAATCCTGATTTAAGGTATATAATCAAAACAATAACTAGTACAAGAAATTGTATTGAAATAACTCTATCTCTAATTTGATCGATATTGAAAGATGTACATTTCTGGCAGGATCCCGGAGTTGATATTTTGGCACATACCGAGTAAAGCATACAAGAAAGTAGCTCCTAGGCTATGGATAACAAAACCTTGCACCGGATCAATCAACAAAGAGAAAGTTGCTGCTCAAGAAGCTGAAAATGGAATGATGAGAGTTCTTGAGAAGAGATCTTCAGTTAAGGTACTAACTAAGAACTATATAGAACGCAATAATTAGCTGTTTAGCGACGGCTCATTATTTTCAGTATATGTTTGGTGCGTAGGCAGTGTTTGTAGGGCACAACCATGGACTAGACTGGTGCTGTCCGTACAAGGACAAGCTCTGGCTTTGCTTTGCAAGGCACACGGGTTATGGTGGATATGGAAATTGGGCCAGAGGATCAAGGATTTTGGAGATTACTGAAACGCCCTTTCGTATTAAGTCATGGATTAGGATGGAGGATGGATCTGTGCACAGTGAAGTTGGTTTAACTTGTGATGATGATTAGTCTATTGAGCATTATTATAATTATTCAACTTTGTGGAAGTAAAGTTCTAAAGAAATAAAAAAGGAAACAATTTTTCAAAAACCATTGACGTTAAAAATACAAGTTCATCTTCCCTAGAGTTCTACAAAAAAGTAAATAGCTTATCTGAATAATATAACTTTTGATGGGTTATCTTAGCTATTCACAATTGTTTTTTGGGTTATTTTAGGTAATGATCTCCATAATAAACATTTGTTGGAGAAGACCAATACTTTGCTCTGTCTCTCTATCTCGCATCTAGAAGAGCTGGTTCCTCAGGATTTTGATGATGGTATCAAGAACCTCCTTATTTTCCACCAAATACTTTTCAGCTGCGTCTTTCCCATCAACGACCTCGCCTTCGATGAAATGGCTACTTCCTTCTCTTACGATAACTCCATGCTCACAAGCCAACTCTAAAACCTCACGCTCCACGTAGAAGCCATGACCAAAGTGAATCCCCAATTCAGATTTCTTCTTTCCTGGGGTCAGCTTATTTTTCACCACTTCGACGCACACATTCAGACCACTTATCTGAGGAAATGGTTACAGTTAGGAATAAAACGACGACTGAGATACTGCTCTTTGCAGAAATTAAGCAGTATTTTAAAGATTAATATGACTTACAATAGCAACAATGTGCTTATATATAACATACCTCACTGTCAGTCTTTATGAGCCCGGTTCTTATCATTTTGAGGCGTATAGCTGCCTGAAACCGCAATGCATTCCCCCCACAAGTCACTTCTTCCGCGTGTGGGAAACGCATTCTAGATTTGGCATGTGATCTGACCTGTTATCAGACAAAAAAAAAATGAATTGGCAGAGAGATCTTATCTTTTTCTAGGTGGGTCAATTTATGATCCAACTCAAAACATCACAAAAAAATACTTGGTCTTACCTGATTAAGAAAAACGATCAGTGTCTGCGAATTGGCAACTGAGTAGTGGATTTTTCTGAGCGCCTGTGTCATTATTATTGGTTGTCTGTCTCTGTATCTTTCTCCTATAGGAACATCAAGCTCACATTGAGGGGCAAGAGCAGCAACCTGTAAATCCCACTTCTATTATATATACCGGAATGCAGAAAGTGGTACATGAACGATATTTGAGATGACAGAATGAAAACTCACACTGTCCACCACAATTACGTCTACTGATCCACTCTTGGTTAGCACATCGACAATACTTAGCATATTTTCTGCAGAATCGGGTCGTGATATTAGAAGCTCTTCTGTGTTTACACCTATTGCCTCTGCTAGACAAGGATCCAAGGCATTCTCCACATCCAGATAAGCGCAATAACCTGGCCCAAACCACCAAATTCCCAACTTAGGATGGATCCTAGTACCAAGTCTTTTGTTCAAACAGATGTATTTAAGACGAAAGATCCACCAAGAATAGTACCTCCAAGCTTTTGAGCTTCCTTGATGATATGAAGAGCTAGAGTTGTCTTTCCAGAAGCTTCTTTTCCGTAAACCTCAACCATTCTTCCCTATAGATTTCTCATGTAAACACATATTCAGAGACCTCGTTGAGTGAAAAAATATAACAAACAATACTTTAGCTTGGCTAAGTCTGTCACAGTCTCCTAAATAAACAACCTTTGGCAATCCTCCAACTCCTAGAGCTAGATCAAGGTTGAGTGAGCCAGTAGATATCACAGAAACTCTCCGAGATCTGGAAAACCGCTGCAGCCACAACTTAGAGTCTTCATCAAAATCACCTGAAACTGAAAGCTGTGACAATGCCGAATGCAGATTAATGTCTTTCTCCGCTACTTTGCTATCATCTGGACCTTCATCAAGTTCACAGTCTGAAGCTTCAACTAACCAATGGAAAGAAGGACACACTCGTTTAGGAGACTAAACCAGAAGAACCATTCACTCATGGAAATCACAAACGAAAAAAAAGCGAAATTACTGATATTACCTAGAGACGAAAGATAACGACCTCCATAGCTAGAGCAAGGGAGAAATCCTCTTCTTCCATTCTGCTACAGACAAAACGAAAAAAGAACAAGAGGAGAGAGTAAAACACAAGAGATCCCATAACTGCTATATCATTCATTCAGTAGCTTCGGTATTTCACCAATGCATAAACTTTATTTAAACATACACAAAAGAGTGGAAAAAAATCAAAAATCCAAGGGAGATGTTTGTTTTTGGTTGGAACAAAGAAAATGCAGTTAATACTAGCGCAACAGTCTGAAAAATCAAGTCTTTATTATAGTAAGCAGAAAAAAATCAAAACTTGGGAGGCAGAAGCTGTGGAAATTAAAAGTTGTTGAAGAAGAAAGCGAGGCAACATTAGAGAGGAAGAGAGGAAAACAAATAACACAGAACCTGAGATAAGTAGGAGAAGAAACGGAATCTCTGAATCGGACTGGTCAGTGAGAGTCGACCCATGCCCTGATTCTTCTTCCCGGCGGCGCGTGTTCCAACAGACGCTTCTCCTCCTCCTCTTCCTCCTTGCCGGAGCGATTTTAACTCGCCGTCCCCTCCTGGTGGCTTCTGCCGAGATACTTCTTCTATTAATGTATGTCAATTAAATTCCCGGTTTTTTTTACTATTATAATAGGACTTGTAATTTGGTAGTGTAAATTGATAATTAAGAAATTTTCTTTTGATAAATAGTTTCCGGGAGAAACAGTGAAGGAGAATCTGGTGTTGGGCGATTGCGAAGAGAGCAATGATGATCGCCACTGCATCATCCCTTTCTCTTCTCTCTTCTTCATCTCACCATAAATTCTCCGTCGATCTCTGTTCTTATCCAAAGCCTTACCGGAGATGCTCGATATTTTGCTCCGGCGTCAGAACGGCTCGAGTGATGGATATGGACAGAGCTACGCGGCGGCGGCGGCAGAGCCGACATTTGTCCGCCACTGAAGCTCGAGTTTCTCTTGTTCTCGCTCTCGCCTCTCAGGCCTCCTCTGCCTCTCAACGCCGTAAAATGTTCCTTCTCTGTTGCCGCAAATTTGTAACTCTTAAACTCCATATGTCAAACTCTTTCTTTCTCTGTTTTCTATCAGTTTTGGCTGATTTGGCGGTGGAGACTGCAAAATACGTTTTTCCGAAGAGGTTCAATAGTTCAAATCTGGAAGAAGCGTTCATGTCTGGTTAGTTTTAGGCTTCTTTTATCAAAATTCATCAGCTTTTTCACTGACCTTTTTTTTGTTTAATCTTTGCATTTTCTTTCTCTATAGTTCCGGATCTCGAGACAATGAACTTCAGAGTTCTAAGTAGGACAGATAAATACGAGATTAGACAAGTCGAGGTTCTTCTTTCACTATGCTCGCTCTCACAAACATTCTCTGTTTCAGAAATGGTCTCACTCTAAAGCTATTGACTTTTGAATTTTGAAACAGCCTTATTATGTGGCCGAGACTACAATGCCAGGGGAAACTGGATTCGACTTCTATGGTGCTTCTAGGTCTTTCAATGTGTTAGCTGAATACCTGTTTGGTAAGGTAGTATGAAACATTCCTTACAGATTTTGCTGCTGCACACTCTGTTTGATTTGATTATTGGTTTGCTTTAGCTCTCGGTACCTTTTTTTTTTCTGTCTTCAACAGAACACAGTAAATGAGCAAATGGAGATGACGACCCCTGTTGTTACTCGTAAAGTCCAATCTGTTGGAGAAAAGATGGAAATGACTACTCCTGTAATCACAAGCAAGGTAAATATCTCTTCAGTGGATCATGGAGCATCTCATCTTTGGAAGTTCCTAGTACAGTTATATAACATAGATAAATGTAAGGGCTTGGACAGCCTGGGATACCTACTTGTTAGTTAACTCCTGGAAATTTGTAAATTAGTTATGTTTCATTTCTTTGATTCATTTTTTACCTTGTTCCCGTTCATAGTCAATCAGTAACTTATACTTTTGTTTCAGGCAAAAGATCAAAGCCAGTGGCGGATGTCTTTTGTCATGCCCTCAAAGTATGGTTCGAATTTGCCATTTCCAAAAGACCCTTCAGTCAAAATTCAGGAGGTGCCAGGAAAGGTTGTTGCTGTTGTCGCCTTTTCAGGTAAATTATACTCCGATCTCACTTCCACAAGTGACGGTACACTAGTCTGAATAATCAAAGATATACACCAGAGATTGCTGAAACTAGTTTCAAATTCCAATCATAAAAAAAAAAAAAAAAAAAAAAAAAAAAAAAAATCAACTTTGTTTCAGGCTATGTTAACGATGAAGAGGTTGAGAGGCGGGAGCAAGAACTAAGGAGAGCTCTTCAATATGACAACAAGTTTCGAGCGAGAGATGGAGTTTCAGTTGAAGTTGCGCAGGTTCATCAACAATCATAAAAAAGCTGAATGCATTTTAAAAATCTCATCTTGTTTCTTACGTTCTGCAAATTCATGCCCTGCAGTACAATCCACCATTCACTCTCCCGTTTACCCGTCGCAACGAGGTCTCTCTCGAAGTTGAAAGCAAAGAAGATTAGCCCCTTCCCTGGTATATTCATACATACATACATACATGTATATACACTGTAAAATACAATTACAACTTGTGTTAAAAAAGACAAAACGCGTTTACTTCAGTGTATATGAATTTGAGTGGTAAATGGTCTTGCAAACCTTTTCTACACCACAATTATGGATCTTTACTTTGCTTATAGGCCACTAGAGATGCCTATTATAGGCCTCTAGTCTTTGAAATTAACACAAACAAGCACTCACACTTTTACCTTTTGGAAAATTCCATCATAACATATATTCACATTTTAATACTAATTTTAAACTTTCTCGAAAAAGGATTTCATGTGTTACCATTGTCCATTGGAACAGTATTCCTGGGAATTTCATGCCTCCTTTATGAGTCTCTGGTATCTACGTATATATCTATGTTATGTGTCATATATATATATATATATAGATATGGACATCGTATAGGCTAATAAGATTCAGGAATACTATCTAACAAAGGTCTCCAGCCTCTATGACACTCATCATCATCATCAGAGAGATTTTGCTTAGCAAGACTCTTATAGACCAATTCTTGAATTGATCCTCCTTGAAGCAGCTTCTCAAGCTCTTGCTTACTCACAACCATCTTTACTCTCACAACACCAACACTCTTCTCCTTGGTGTTGTCGCCACAATCTGTTAATCTATCTTCCTCTTCTTCTTCTTCTTCTTCTTCTTCTTCTTCTTCTTCTTCTTCTTCTTCTTCTTCTTCTTCTTCTTCTTCCCTTAATAACGGTACGGAAGACCTAGGTCCTCTTCTTTTTTCTCAACCTCTGGATTTGCAAACCTGACTTTCTTCAGCGTCTTCTGGTGCTTGATGATTGTTGTGGTCTCCTTGGGCATGAGATAGTAGAGACGGCCACAGAGAAGCTTGGATTGTGGATGAAGATGACAATTGTTAGAGAGAGAGTCGAAGAGAGAGTAGTGGCCAGAGAATTGGGTGAGGATGTCATGAACCTTCATGGGTCCTCTGTATTCGACTACTTTACCATCATTTCTCATTATCTTTATCACTTTCTTCTCCATAACTATACAATTCCCCATCTTTATCTTTTGAATTCGATTTTCTTTACTTTAGTTTGTGATTGATTTCTTCTGTGTAAATAAATGTGTTCGGAGATTTTTGTCATCTGTTTGAGTTTTGGAGATTCTGTGTCTCTATATTTATAGAGTTTAGGGTTTTGTAAATACCCTTGCCTTTTAAGAGTATTACGAGGAGTGCCATTATCTCTGGTGGGCCCTTCATTGATCTTTGCATCATTCTATTTAATATTTTTATATATCCTAGTGGCCTCCGGTGAGGTGTGGTGGGGTGGTGCTCTCCTAATTGTTTTTACATAGTTGGATCTCCTAAACTAATTTCGTTTATTGTTTTTTTCACATATAAAGAAATATTTATTTGGTTTTAAGGAATTTCTGATAATTTCACATAAACATCTCGGAACAGTTGTGCTTGTGGTGTAAATGTGGTTGACGTGATTAGTGTGGACCGTGTGGTCAAAAACAAATGATGTTGAACATTTGATAGTAATAATAGTATTAAAAATTTATATAATTATAACTAATTTTGTTTAAATGTCCCGAAAAGATGGTATGCTTCTTCAAAGTGCATGTGTTTGTTTCTGGTGAATTAATGTTAGTGTTTCTGGTAAATTAATGTTAGTGTTTTTTGAAACACACTGATCGTACCAATAAGTACTTGCTACCCTTTTAAATACATAGTCTATGAATCTAAATATTTGATATTCGTACTTGTGCTTATGATTTATTTATTGCTTTGTATATTCGTGAAAAAGGTACGACATGTGGATAGGTGGTAATCAAATTGTTTAAATTAGAAATTCAAAATCATCACCAAAATTTCGATGATTAATTGTTTAACAACTCCGGATGTTCTTGTTGAAAGATACTCCTATATGGCTATATCTTGTCGTCTCTTGGAAATTGGAGCTTGTATCGTGTATGGAATAAGATCTTGATTCATTCCATGTCGGTTTAAACAATAAGGATATAGGTCATATAATATGTCTACACTTTTCGCGACTGGCTCGTTTGTCAACATTAAAATGATTTTGAGTATTCAAGTTGTTCCTCCTTTTAATCGGCATTTTAATATTCAAAATCATTTTAATGACCTTTATTTTCTGCATCAATATCGAATCTTTTATAGTATTGTTTAACATTATATGATGAGTGATTGCATTACACCATTGGTACTTTAGTAAACATCTAACCACACTTGTGTGTATCAACTGTTACAACCATTTACAGTCTAATAATTTTATCATTTTATGTTTACCAAAAATCTTTTGACCAAAAGGAATAGGGTTTTGAGCAGAGACTTGCCTTAAGGCTATAACCAAAGGTGGAGCCACTAGGAGGACCACAAAAAGAGTCCAAATGACTTTTGATAAGTGGATATATGTCATTTCCAAATTCGAAGCACGACTTGATTTCTATAATCATTATTCCATTGAATATTTGCCCCTTTCTATTAACTGCTAACATCCACCGCAAGTCTCACTTTTCCATATTACTGATTTTTTCATTAGTTGGAAACTCACAAAACCCCATTTCATTGTACATTTTTCACTCGTTTCATTCTTCTCATTAGACGACATGCTTTCACAGTTGAATGATTTATCTTATAAATATGCTCTTCCAATTTCGCTGCATTACAATATCCTTATTTGTTTGCATTTACTTAAGTTTTCCGATTGTGTTAGTTTTGAATTATTGGCAAAAGCCGATGGTCAAGTTGATTAAGCAGAAGCAACATGCTACTTCAAATGATCATGATCCCTTTATTTTGGTATTTTTAAGTCTCTCATTTCTAGATCCCTTTACTTGAATTTGTTTCTTCCGTAATGTTAGATCATTAATATGCTGATTCTAATACCAGCTGATATAATTAGAATCTAGCTTATAGTAATTAAGTGAAACCAAACGCACAAGATTCACGAGAACTCAACTGAAATCTAGTTTGATAACGTGTGTATATCCTCCTCATACTTACGTTTCCAAAAAGAAAACGAAAAAAGAGAAAAAAAAAACAACTCAATCCCTTGTACGCTTGAATTTTGTGCTACATATAACTTTAATTTCTTTATTTTGGTTATTCACCGAACTTGATTTCTTGTGATGATCCCCAACGAATTTGCATTCAGGTCTGCCTAAAATAATTTTCGACGTCATATGTTGTTTTGGCATAGAGAAAAATGACCGTTAAGGCATTTATATTAAGCCTAAGTCTACAACAAGAAAACCGAACTCTCGTTACGACTTGATATTTTGATACTTTCCCATTAGGCTATAGCTATACCAAACTCTATGTATCCATCACTTTCTCACATATACACATTTATACATACATATACTGATATACACCTATTTGCCCTCTTGATAACGTAAGCTTATGCAAAGTTGATATTTTTGGATAGTGTGGTCCATTTCATCAACTAAGCTTAAAGTGCTTACGATGATAAGTGGGTTCGAATAGGTTCCACCAACGAAGCATGTTTTAAATTCTGTAATTTTTTTTCCTTGGCAACGAGGAAATTAAAGTGTGTATTCATATTAATTCCGTTACATATGATATTTTTACCAAGTGAGCCATATTGATTTGAGCATAAATAAAATTAATCCGATTTAAATCCCTGACATACTAAGAATTCTTTCACCCATTTCGGTTGACCTAAAGTGGGTTTAGATTTTTTTTACTTTCCTTGTTTTTGGTCGGCAGAATTTTTGTCTTTCTATTCAAAGAAAATACTACCTTTTTTTTTACTGAGCGTGGGTTCTAAATTCTAATGTTTTCGTTGACCGTTGATTTAAGAACACTCAAAGATAATGAGTGTAGGAAGCTAAGAAGATATAATGGGTGGGTAAAGAAGAAATATTTTAGGGTGTTTCTGGGGTGAATGGTGGATGTTGATGGCTTGATCATGATGCTCTAAAGCGAAAGATAAAATAAATAACTATTGAATAAACCATTATTTTTGCCTTTGTTTACTATGTAGGGCATTGAATGCACTCCCCTCTTAGTGGTGGCGGCAGAATTTTTGTTAGCTTGAAAGAGATAGAAATTTACTATCTGCTACTTTACTAGTATGATGAAAAACCCAATGCATACAAATATTTTTGGTTGAAACACAGACTTTAATGTTATCCATATGTATGTTCATACGTACTTCAACAAGTTCGACATGATAACTTAATTTATAGTTTACATACATAAAAGGGACAGCCCATGTTATTGATGATAGATTTAGTATAATTCCCTGTTACATTGTAGATACAAAACATAATGATGATGAGAACTATTGTTTGTTCATCATTATCTTACTTATTCATATAACTTCCTTCTCAAGCAAATACAGCAATTTACCGCATGCCCTTCTAACATCATCGCCAATGATTCACTAGAATTGTCTCCGTCATCTTTTTCTTTTTAAAATAATATCACAAATCTGAAATGTATGTATCTACTTGGTGATATTACAGTGGATAATGTGAGAAATTACTAAAATCAAGACTTAAGCAAGTTTACTCTATCATTTTATTTTCTTTCCAATTCTACCTAAACCAAAATCACATCTCAAAACCGGTGAAAACCAGATCGATCGAATTTCCAATGCAAATTTTATTGTTTCCCCGATATCCAACGAAAATGTTTGGAGAGTAAACCATCTTCAAACATATATAGCTAACCCACAATTTCACAAAGAATTGCAATCTGGTTTGGTTATCGACCGTACGCAAACAATGTACCGGAAATCCGGGTGAACCACAATTTCTCACTTAGTCCCTTGACTTCAAATATCTTGCCTATTTAAATCAGACACAAGTCACACAACACAAGTCTTCTTCACGCTTCAAAACCAAAGTAAAAAGATGGAAGCAAACACTCTTTTTCATCTAAGAGTTCTTCTTCTTGTCTGTTTCAGAGTCTGCTTCACATTAGGTTCCGATCCCGACCCGATCCAAGACTTCTGTATACAAAAACCAATCACATTTCCTCATTACCATCACTTCTCCACCAATCTCCCTTGCAAGAACTACTCCGAAGTAACCACTGAAGATTTCGTATTTTCCGGTCTAAAAACCGCCGGAAACTTCACGGAGGCAGGACTCGCCACAGTCCCCGTAAGCCCAACAAACTTCCCGGGCCTAAACACATTAGGCATGTCGTTTGTCCGGGCTGATCTCAAACCCGGCGCCATAAACCCGCCACACTACCACCCTCGGGCCACGGAAGTAGCCCACGTGGTTAAAGGACGGGTTTACTCAGGTTTCGTGGACTCGAACAATAAGGTTTACGCTAAAGAGATGGAAGAAGGAGAAATGATGGTTTACCCAAAAGGGCTTGTGCATTTTCAGATGAACGTGGGAGATGTTACGGCCACGATTCTTGGAGGACTTAATAGCCAAAGCCCTGGAATTCAGAAGATACCGTCGGTGGTTTTTGGTTCAGGGATCAATGAAGAGTTGCTTATGAAAGCTTTTGGGTTGAGTCTTAAGGAGATTGGTACGTTGAAGAGAAGATTTGATCCTGTGATGTCTAATGAACATTGATGTTTTCTCTTAAAAAGGATTATCTTGTATGGAACTTATAAGTTATTTATATATGTGTGCTCTTTATTACAAGGGTTATTTAAATTTTTTGACCTAAAAGAGGTTGTCTCCATTTGAAAAAGTCTACTTAAAACTATTCTTGCATGTTTTCTATCCCGAACTACACTTAACATTTCGAATCCTGAATTACACAAATTTAATTAGCACTAATAAGTCGTTGGAGACACATACACTAAAGAAACTTTTCCAGGTCACCAGCTTTAAATTTCGACAATGTTTTCTCCAAAAAGTCTCAAATCCACAAACAAATCGGAATCAATACAAGTATTTTCTTTTGAAGGCTTAAGGGTACAAACGAATCCAATATATCATTATGGTATTAACTGTGAATGTCTGTGTTAAAACAAAATTAGGATAGAAAAAATACGTATCAAAATTTTAAAACAAAGGAGAGACGCCACATATATATAGTCATACTCATACAAAAGAAAGAAAATTAGTTGAAGAGTACATTTATCATACAAAACAAAAGAGATTAACATAAAAGTGGGATGACAAAAAAAAAAACAGAAGATAATAACGTAAAGGAGAGTAACAATTTGGGCTATAGAGAGCAAAACTAATGAGTAAAAGAAATGAGGTTGAAAGCACAAAATAAGGAAAGATCTTAAGCCCAATAAATGGCATGTAGTAATAAGATTCCTCATAGCGGTTTAGTGGTATCATTCCATACCGGAAGTTCCGGTTCGTTAGATCTTTTATAAACCCAAATATCCCCTTCCCTCCACATTCACTACCTTTACATGGATCAGCCACGGCAAAGCTCGACGGCGTCTCAGCCACCGGAAACACCGTCTCAATCGTCGGAAACGGCTCCGAAACCGTCGGTTTTATCACAGATTCAGCAACCTCCTCCCACCAATCCGAGTTCTTCCTCCGTTTCCTCTATTCCTTCTTCCCCAGCCCCGGCATCACCATCGATCAATCCGAACCCTAATCCTCCTCAATACGCGCGTCCGGTGACATCTCCGGTGACGCAACAGCAACCAAACCTCTCTCAGTCTTTGGGACGGCCGCCTCCACCGGCGTACTCGAGACCATGGCAACAACACTCCTCATACACTCACTTCTCCTCCGCATCGTCGCCATTGCTATCGTCCTCAGCAGCTCCGGCCTCTTCTTCGTCGTCGCTGCCTATTAATGGGCAGCAAAGGGGCGGCATGGCGATTGGCGTTCCAGCTTCCCCAATTCCGAGCCCCTCTCCTTCACCTTCTCAGCCTTCGCCTTCTGCTTTTCCAGGCTCTTTTGGGCAGCAATACGGCGGATTGGGTCGTGGAACAGTCGGAATCTCAGAAGCGACAAGTGTCCCGCAGGTGAATTTTTCTCTCATATGTGCCATGTTTCAAAGATTTGTGTGTTTGTAATAGGTAAGAAGAATCCAAAAGATACCAACTTTGCTTTGTGTGTACAGGGTAGGATGATGCAAGGAACGCAGGGAATTGGGATGATGGGGACGCTTGGCTCAGGCTCCCAAATGCGGCCAAGTGTGATGGCTCAGCACCAGCAGAGGCCGACTCAATCCTCTCTAAGGCCAGCTTCCTCCCCAAGTAGCCAGTCTCCTGTTCCCCAAGTAGGGTTTTTTTACTCTTTCTATGATTCTGCCTGTGAACCTTGAAAACAATAGGAAGAAAATCTGCCTTATGAATTGGAATGATTATCACCTCATTACTTTGAAGACATTTAAGATTTGAAGTTTCTAAGCGACTCACAAGCAAAACAAATAGTTTTTCTCGTCATGTGTTTTCATGGATGAATAGAATTTTAGGTGACCATCACTTGGTGATACAGATACATCAGAGGTTAATTGTTGTAGCACCGTTGAGCCACTTAACCTTTTAAATCTCTCCGGACTTTTCTTTCAATGTTTTTTTTTTCAACTCGAACATGTCCATGTTGATAATTTTTAAACTGGTTCATCTATTCTTTCATTGTTACTTGGGGTTCCTTTATAAAACCAAAAAGGAGACTTAATGAACTTTGTTTGCAAACCCTGAACTCCTTATATTTTCTTTCGGCAGAATTTTCAAGGGCATAGCCTTATGAGACCTTCACCTATTGGTTCTCCTGGTGTCCAATCTACTGGTGCAGCACAACAAAGCTTGCAAGCCATTAATCAACCGTGGTTATCATCTTCTGCACAAGGGAAGCCGCCTTTGGCACCCCCTTCATATAGACCGCAAGTAAATACTCCCTCCATGCAACAGAGATCTCATGTTCCTCAGCAACATCTTTCCACGTCACCAGCGACTTCACAGCCTCAGCAACAACAATCTCAGCAACAACATCAGCCCCAAGAGCAACTTCAACAATTGAGATCTCCGCAGCAGCCTTTACCCCACCCACATCAACCGACCCGGGTCCAAGGGTCGGTAAATCAGAAAGCTACTTCTCTAGTAATGCCGAGCCAGCCCCCTGTGCCTCAACCAGGAAACCAAGCTAAAACAGTTTCAGCAGAGAATGAAGAGTCTGATGATCGTATCCTGGGAAAAAGAAGCATCCATGAGCTACTTCAGCAGGTATCCACCGACCACACATTTATATCCTCAACTTTTGGTAATCCATTTTGCATATTGACCGCGGAATAGATTAGTGTTCTCATTTTCGTCACTTAATGAATAACTGATTTCTTCCACTTGGATAGATCTATTACGGAGAAAGTAAAATGTATTTGGTAAAAAATAAAATAGAAGTGATATAATGTGAGTGATCTGCCAATTGGCTCGCATAGAAAGCCAAATAGCATGCCATGGTGACTTTGAACAGATTTAACAATAACATCTATCTCTAACTATGGGGGATGCTTTGGTGTTCTGCGCTCAAACTCCCTGCCTTATATCCATTGAATTTATTCTCTGAATTTAGTATGTCTTGCATCCACAGATTGATCCGTCAGAGAAGTTGGATCCAGAGGTTGAAGACATCCTTGCTGATATTGCTGAAGACTTTGTGGAATCAGTAAGTAGCTCACACCACTTTGTTTTCCAACATGTTTTTATATGAATCTCGGGATAGAGTTAAGAGAGGTATTTGTGTCCTCTGATTGGTTTTTTCACTAACTTTAGCTCGTTGTGTTTCCTTTTATCCAGATCACAACTTTTGGCTGTTCTTTAGCCAAGCATAGAAAGTCAGACACTCTTGAGGCTAAGGACATCTTGCTACATGTTGGTTCGTTCTGATTGATACTGTGCCCATTCCTTTTGATTCCTTTTCCACTTACAGTGTTTAATTACGTTTTGGTATCTCTTTTCCTTACATGTAGAAAGAAACTGGAATATCAGGCCTCCTGGTTTTAGCAGTGACGAGATCAAGACATTTCGAAAACCAGTAAGAATCATTTAGATATTGTTGTGTGATCAATTCATCCAATTTTTTACCTGTGAATTATTACTTAGCCAAGATAGCCTCTAACTTTATTTGGTTGTGCTTCTTGGAAAACGTTTTGCAGCTGACAACAGATATTCACAAAGAGAGACTTGCCGCTGTAAGTTGTTAAGAAAACTGAATATAGAAAGAAAAAAAAACTTTATATTAGTGTTTTTCTTTTTGACTTGTTTATACGTTTTGGGTTTGGAAGATAAAGAAGTCAGTCACGGCAACGGAAGCAGCAAACGCCAGGAATCCGTTCGGGACAGCTAATGCAAGAGGCGTTCAGGCAAAGACGTCTGCTAATCACTTGGCCTCTACAACTTTTAATCACTGATGTATTAGATTAACCCTCCAATCGTTCTTTTGTAGGAATTTTCTTCCATCACAAAGATACAAACGTTGTAACACCCATTTTGTAATCTTATCTAGATCTCAGTCCAAGATAACTACAAGCAAGGATGGTCCAGCCTAAATTTCAATTGTAACCATATGTTAAGTATATGGGATTGAATTAATTCGATGTTTTGCAAAGCGCAAAAGTGTACGAAACAGAGGAATAAGCCATGAGAAGCGGTTATGAATCCGGACTAGCTAATGTATCTCATCCAGACATCCATTAACCAGATTCTTCTGATACAGTTGAATCTTCCATAGCTCTTAGCACATTTAGATTAATATCTAGACATTTGTGGGTTTTTAAAGATACAATCTTGAGTTCAGTTTCTGCTTCTCATTAATATCTTAGCCTTCAACGATCTTCACTGGCGTCCTGCAGAAAAAAAAAACGGAAAAGATTACCTTCAAGGCATGTTTTGTAAAGCAGAGGTTTTTTTTTTGCGTTTTAGACAACTGATCTCACATACCCGAAAGGACTCTGCTTGATTGATAAGAGCTCAATGTCAAGCTGCAAAAGCAAAAAGGTACCAGAACATGAACAACCATTTAAGGAGCAGGAAAAACTTAAAACTGATCAATCAGTTTTAACGACATATCACCTCAATTGTTGCATTTGGAGGAATCTCTTGAACTCCTTTCTTCCCGTAAGCAAGCTCGGGAGGAACAATCACCAATCTCTGTATATATAATATCTCAAGGGGTCAACCAAACACAAGAATTTGAGCTTGAACAATCTGAGTCTGTGGAGCCTTTTGGTTTCAAGAACTAACCTGACCGCCTACACGCATCCCTTCAACGCCAAGGTCAAGTCCTTTGAGAACATTCCCTTTCTCTGATTGCCCAACATCAAACCCGTATGGCTGCCAAAAAAAAACTTTTATGTTATCGATTAAGGATCATCGCATATATTCAAGTACAGTAATGGATTTGCCTTATACCGACCGTTCCACCTCCAACACCAAGTCCTTGTCGACTTGTCATGAACGTTATCCCTTTCCATTTGGCAACATAGTGAACCTGCAACACAATCTCTTTAGGTTAAGCACCAAAGCTTCTTATATATCCATAAGCTCTTTACATGTCGAAAGTTAACCAGGAAACGTATTCACAACCGTACTGCGACCCGAGATCCTTTCACAGCCTCTGCTCCATTGCCAACTTTTATATCGTAGTACCTGCAACAAAAGAAAGAGAATTCAAAACCAAACTTATGATTTTTGCCACAAAGACTCCACCTTTCAATCCCTTTTGAGGTTGAATTCAAATGAAATTTTGATGCGTTGGGTTTCTGAACCATTTCAAATGTCTCTCACAAAAGCAGTTTTCAAGTATGTATGATTACATCATGTGAGATCTTGGTGTATAGTAAAGGGGAAATGTACGAACTTGAGACCATTGGGGAGAGTCGTGAACTCGCTGTCAGGTATTTTGGATGCACGTAGCTGCAAAAAATTGTATGTAAGAGATTTGATTTTGAGTCAAGAACAAGGCATAATGTATGTATTGATCAATGATGATATCTATGCTTACAGCTCTTCTGCTGGTGCTTACGGCCTCGGCTGGATCAGCCAACAGAATCCCAGAAGCTGTATTTTTTATTCAGACAAACCAACTTTTTGAGGATTTTGATACACACTGATTGAAAGCTAGCTTAAGTGGAAATGCAAAGAACTGAGAAGTGGTCAATGAAAAGAATCTAACCGGCGGCGAGGAGACATCCAAGTAAAACCCTTCTTCCTTCGTGGCTCACCGGCGCCGGAGAATCGACGGTCTCTGATCTGATGACCTTTTCGCCGCTTGAAGACGGTAATGAGCACCGGTACGGTTTGGATTGCCTTCTTCCTGCAAATTTGTAAAAAAGGAAAAGAAAAAAACAACAATGTTTTGCATGATTACGCGTCTTGTTTATTGGTTTAAATGTTAAAAAAAATGCTAATTAATACAGTGGTGTATAGAGAGAAACAGAGTGTACTTGATTGAAAGGGAATGGAGGAAGAGAGAGAGTGATGGAGAGGGTGAAGAAGTTTCATTGTTAAGATCATTGTTTGTTTCGATGTTTTTGTATTCAACTTAATAGATTGTCGCGTATGATTCAAAGAAACTTTCTCATTCTTGTCTTTCTTCTTCTTGAGTTTGAGCTCAAAATGCGTGTGTGAAAGAGATAGAGAGGAAGAGGGAAAGGGATAAAATTGGAATTCTCATCCACAAGTTTAGGATTTCGGATTCTCTCACCGCCGTTACACCCACACTTGACGCCGTTAGATCTTTAAAAAGAAAACAAAAAAATTATTTGATTTTCGGTAAACAAAAAGCGTTAATGACTAAAACATGTCGAATTAAAAATACTAATCAAAAATCCAACGTTGGAACCACACTTTCCCCCAGTCTAAAGTTAATGTTCCACCACATCCATAGTCGTTATACATTATAGATGTACATAAACACAATGAAGTAAAATTCTATAAGTTATACGTTTCTAACGAGGAAATTAATATAGACTTTTATGTATTTACAACTAATAAATAAAATGTTTTGATGAAAAAGTTGTGTAAATTTTACAATGGATCTAGTAATTTGGATCACTAGATGCAATCCGAGTCAGTGTGACCTAAATTGTTACGTAGTAGTTGGATTGAGTTCCGGTTTGGAAACCATTATCTCTTTCTTTTCATTTCAAACTCACTAGCACAAACCAGCATTTCTATAATCACAAAGAGTATTACCAAATACGAGAGTTTTCAACTTTTCATCACAAACCGATCGTACTACTTACTATATATGATTTCCACTTTATCACAATGTGATGCCCCTAAAAATCAATAAATAATATTGCTATATAAAAGCTTTTTTTATATATAAAATGGAGTTAGGTCCTTAATCTAATCTATTCTTCTTCCTTTTTTTTTCGGTGAAATGATCTCTTTTCCTTGTAAACATTAATTTTAGAAAACGCTAACCTTTTCATCAGTTACGAATATCATCTCAGAAGTGTCACCATGTAGATTTGCGAGCTTCTAGATGTCTCAATATTTTAACGCAAAGACACAAATCTCATTAGCTGAAGGGTCAGGTCAATTCAGCGACGTTGTTTACATGCCAGCAATTAGGGATACTATAGTACAATCTTAGCATTGAGCCTAATTTCCAATGTATATTAGTATATACATGGGATTGATATAAGCTAGCTATGGATTGGAATACTAGGTTTTAGTTTTAAGAGGTAAAGCATTCTGGCTCTGTTCTTTTCTTCGACGCTGCGTCTGCGTCCGCGTCAGATCATAACGGCGACAGATCATAACGGCGACGACCGTAATACCTCAAAACGGCGATGACTTTAATTCTAGCAAAACAACCATATACGGAGATGCTGTTGAAAGAGGAAGTGTCTCAGGAGGTGGCCACGATACCTAAAAAATGACGCTGTATTTTCCCAGCGTCACCAACAACACCGGCGTCACTGTTAAACGTAATCACAGCTTCACAGACGTATGAACACGGACACCGTTTTCAAATTCTCTAAGTGTATTTTTTGGTCGCCGAACGCTTGACGCAGCGTTTATGAAAAGAACAGAGCCACTTTCTAATCTTTCTTCTAGGTAAATTTAAGTTATTTATAAAATATTTCAATAGGACCTAATATCTTTGATATATTTACATAAATTTATGTAAACATTCTGTAGATAATGGGAAATATGGTAAAGAAATTACGATTAGTTAAGAGATTAGTTCTTGATTATTTAAAATTTTTAAAATGTGGTGTTGCCAAAACCAAGCAAATATATTAATGTTTTTTACCGATTACTTTTAATATTGTAAAGAAAATACGATTAGTTAAAAGATTAGTTTTTGATATGATTATTTAAAATTTTCAAAATGTGGTGCTGCCAAAGCCAAGCAAGTATATTAATAATTTTTTACCGATTACTTATAATAAAATCTACTAAAATTATTTACAACATTTAAGAAGTTAAAATTATATAGTTGAGTAAATAACTAATCAAATCTTTGTTAACTGGAACAAAAAATTTAAGTCGGATTGTACTTCTGTTTATTTTCAAAGTACAAAACATCATTATTTGATTTAAAATAATAAAATAACAGAATAGTGTTATTTTCCTTATAAGTATAAACTTTTGCTGAATGGGTTTAAGGCCATTTTAAACCAACCGGCCACAGACAGACACCTTTGTTGCCGTCGCCGCCACCTCCTCACTCTCTCTCTATATATATAAATCAGAGCCGCCATGGATTCCGTCAGGCTTCAAACGGCTCCGTCGTCCCTCCGTAGCCAACTGTTAGGTCAACCCGTACCTCATCACATTCCGCTACCTCCATGTACTCGCCGCTGCGACGGCCGCAGCAACCTCCGAGCAAAACCGGTTATCGGAATCACTCGATCTCGGAATCATGTCTCTCCAGTGGCCGTTATTTTCCGAGACGAAACGCCTTTGGCTCCGCAAGATCCGCCGGATCATCCTCCGCCACGTCTCAAGGTCTCTCCGAGTTCGCTGCAATACCCGGCCGGTTACCTCGGTGCGGTTCCAGAGCGTACGAGCGAACCCGAGAACGGAAGCATCGCGGAGGCTATGGAGTATCTGACGAATATACTCTCCACGAAGGTTTACGACATCGCGATTGAGTCTCCACTTCAATTGGCCAAGAAGCTATCGGAGAGGTTAGGTGTTCGCATGTTTCTTAAAAGAGAAGACTTGCAGCCTGTAAGCTCCAATTTCTACTCTTGGATTAAATCGCATTGTGTAGGCAATTAATTTCGTTGGCATTTCAGAGAAATTTTTAAAAAGTTTTGATTTTTGCTGTATGACATTTGAGTGTGTTTAACTAAGGGTCACTTGAACAAAAACTGTGTATCAGGTTTTCTCGTTTAAGCTTCGTGGAGCTTACAACATGATGGTGAAACTTCCAGCAGAGCAATTGGCGAAAGGTGTTATCTGCTCCTCAGCTGGGAACCATGCTCAAGGAGTTGCTTTATCTGCTAGTAAACTCGGCTGCACCGCCGTGATTGCTATGCCTGTTACGACCCCTGAAATCAAGGTATTTTTGCGTCATGTTCTTGAATTTCTTGCATCATCTCAAGTTAGTATCTGATGAAGGTCTTCTCTTGGATTATAATAACAGTGGCAATCTGTGAAGAATTTGGGTGCTACGGTTGTTCTTGTTGGGGATTCGTATGATGAAGCACAATCATATGCTAAGAAACGAGCTGAAGAGGAGGGTCTGACGTTTATACCTCCTTTTGATCACCCGGATATTATTGCTGGACAAGGTACTGTCGGCATGGAGATCACTCGTCAAGCTAAGGGTCCATTACATGCTATATTTGTCCCCGTCGGTGGTGGTGGTCTGATAGCTGGTATTGCCGCTTATGTGAAGAGAGTTTCTCCCGAGGTACATGTCTCTTCTGATATTGCTTTTGTCAATGTCACATTGTGACAAAATTCCTCCTTTTTTCTTGAGATATGATTTTCCTTGATTTGCATCTTCTGTTCCCTTATTGTGACTTCTTTGTTATGCAGGTGAAAATCATTGGTGTTGAACCGGCGGATGCAAATGCAATGGCGTTGTCGCTGCATCACGGTGAGAGAGTGATACTAGACCAGGTTGGGGGTTTTGCAGATGGTGTAGCAGTCAAAGAAGTTGGCGAAGAGACTTTCCGTATATCCAGAAAGCTAATGGATGGTGTTGTTCTTGTCACCCGTGATGCTATATGTGCATCAATAAAGGTAAGGTTTATCCTCTAGTTGGTTATTGCTTGTGATGTGGTTTTTAGCATCTCCTCGGGTCATTATAGATAATCATATTCTTGCCTCTACAGGATATGTTTGAGGAGAAAAGGAACATATTAGAACCAGCAGGGGCTCTTGCGCTCGCTGGAGCTGAAGCATACTGTAAATATTATGGCCTAAAAGACGTGAATGTTGTAGCCATAACCAGTGGTGCAAACATGAACTTTGACAAGCTGAGGATTGTGACAGAACTCGCCAATGTCGGTAGGCAACAGGAGGCTGTTCTTGCTACTCTCTTGCCGGAAAAACCTGGAAGCTTTAAGCAATTCTGCGAACTGGTGTGTGTTTCGTATTATAGCATGTATAAATTAATCCCGTCACAGAACGCATCTAATACAATACATTGATGGATGCAGGTTGGACCAATGAACATAACCGAGTTCAAATATAGATGTGGCTCGGAAGAGGAGGCTGTTGTTCTATACGGGTAAGTCCGTTCCTAGAAAAATCTTTCTTTCTTGAGTGGGTTATTGATCCTCTAATCCGCAGAATTTTGTGTGCAGTGTTGGATTGCACACACCCGGAGAGCTCAAAGCACTAGAGAAGAGAATGGAATCTTCTCAACTCATAACTTACAATCTCACAACCAGTGACTTGGTGAAAGATCACCTGCGTTATTTGGTGCGTCCTTAAAATCGATATTTCTCTGTGATGATTTCTCCGTGAGGATTACTACTTTTCCAAGTAACTTCTCTGGTTGATGCAACACAATATGTATATCAGATGGGTGGAAGATCAAGTGTTGAAGACGAGGTTCTATGCCGATTCACCTTCCCTGAGAGACCCGGTGCTCTAATGAACTTCTTGGACTCTTTCAGTCCACGATGGAACATTAGCCTTTTCCATTACCGTGCCCAGGTTTGTTTCCCAATTCACCATTTTACCATACAAAAAGGGAAGACCAAGAAGCTTTGATGCAAATTTGAGGCTCCTTCTTACTATATTATATTTCCTCTTTCAAAAAAGGGTGAGACAGGCGCGAACGTGCTGGTCGGGATCCAAGTCCTGGAGCAAGAAATGGAGGAATTTCGAAACCGAGCTCAAGCTCTTGGATACGAGTACTTCTTGGTAAGTGATGACATCAATTTTAAGCGTCTGATGCATTGAGTTTAAAGCTGTGATGGAGGAAGCAAAACCGAGGAAGTAGAAGATCCCATCAGAATCTTCCTTGTGTCCATGGTTGTTCTCAGTCCCGGCTCTAACCCATGGCCCATGGTGAGACCTGGATCCAACGCCCAGGTTTTTATTTTTATGTTTTAGTATTGGATAAGAAAGGCCCACGACCTATTATCTATTTTCTTACAGCAAGCTTTTGATCTATTATTATCTTCTGTATACATAAACCAAGTAAGACCATCTATATCTATGTGATTAACATAAAGAGTTCATACTCTAAATTTATTTTGCATTCTACATGTTTCCAGATTGTGATAGTGCATTTTAAAATCAACGGTTCGAGAAAGAAAAAAGTATACATTTGTCATTTAGAGTTGAAAATTGGGAATCAATTTAAACAAAAATCTTAAGACATTATGTATGGATTTTGGAATTTGGATTTATTGTCAAAAAGGTAAAACGGTGGCAAAAAAAAGGCAGCTCCACTGTTTTCCCAAAACCAGCCCTTGGTTTTGGCTTGATTTGTATATGAAATTTTCTTAATAACAATTCCCAAAAAGGAAACAAAAGTTAAATAAAAAAACACAAAACCAAAACCACAAAACCATGGGCAGTTTTCAGACCATCACTTTGACGCCTCAGAAAACCAGCTGCTCTGCTTTCTCTTTCTCTTTTTATTTGTAGATGACTCCTCTCTTTCAATCTCTCATTCTTTGACTCTGATCCAGAAACCCACTTGACCAATTTTCTTCCACACGCAATGCAAACTCAAACTCGAACCCGAAGAAGATACTGCAATTAACAATTCTCGGAGAGATTCTTTTCCTTCGACGAAAAGCATCGATTTTTTTCTCGATCTTTAGGGTTTATAATTTTTCATTTGTCGCGGAATTTCAATTATTCCCAACTGGGATTCGAGCTCTATGGAATCAACAAATGTGATGTTTTCTGGGTTTAGTCCGAGAATGTTGAGCTTGGAAATGCCGCAGAATCCACAGAATCCCCAAAACCCAGTGCAATTCCAGCATCCGCATCCTTACGCCGCCACCGGAAATCCAACCACCGGCGATCAGCAGACTCAGCCGCTGATTAAACCCTTGTACCCATACGCCTCAAAACCCAAACAATTGTCACCGGCAAGCGTAGGCGACGACGAGGACCGCGGGTCGGGTTCCGGGTCCGGGTGTCACCCAGAAGACAGCGCGGGAACCGACGGGAAGAGGAAAATCTCGCAGTGGCATAGGATGAAGTGGACGGACACGATGGTTCGGCTTCTGATCATGGCAGTCTTCTACATCGGCGACGAAGCTGGGCTAAGCGATCAAATCGACGCCAAGAAAAAGATCGCCGGAGGAGGAGGAGGGATGTTGCAGCAGAAGAAAGGCAAGTGGAAATCGGTGTCGAGAGCAATGGTTGAGAAAGGTTTCTCCGTGTCGCCGCAACAGTGCGAGGATAAATTCAATGACTTGAACAAGAGGTACAAGAGGGTCAACGACATACTTGGGAAAGGCACCGCGTGTCGCGTCGTGGAGAATCAGGGATTGCTCGACGCCATGGATCATCTGACTCCGAAACTTAAAGACGAGGTCAAGAAATTGCTCAATTCTAAACATCTCTTCTTCAGAGAGATGTGCGCTTATCACAATAGCTGCGGCCATCTCGGTGGTCACGACCAACCGCAACCGAATCAGGCTCCGATTCAGGGACGTCCCGAGCAGCAGAGCTGTTTTCACGCGGCGGAATCAGGGAAAATGGCGAGAATCGCGGAGAGCGAGGAAGAGGAAGAGTCGGATATGGCGGAGGATTCGGAGTCGGAGATGGAGGATACGGAGGAGGAGGAGGAAGAGACGAGGAAGAAGCGGAGGAAAGGGGAAGGAGTATCGCCGGCGGTGAAGCGGATGAGGGAGGAGGCGACGCGTGTGTTGGAGGACGCGGGGAAGAGCGCTTTGGAGAAGAAGGAGTGGATGAGGACAAAGACGTTGGAGCTTGAAGAGAGGAAGGTTGGTTACGAGTGGGAGGCGGTGGAGATGGAGAAGCAGAGAGTGAAGTGGCTGAGGTATCGGAGCAAGAAGGAGAGAGAAATGGAGAAGGCTAATCTTGAGAACCAGCGACGGAGGCTAGAGACGGAGAGGATGGTTCTCATTCTCCGCCGGAGGGAGATTGAATTGGCCGAGTTACAGTCTTCGTGTAAACCGGGTTGACCCGAATTCCGCCATCGGGTTATGTAATTAGTGTTAGGATTTTGGTGTCTTGGATTCGTTTTGTTAGTTTATAGTAACTTTCTTCTAGTTTCAAATGTGGAAGATGCTAGGATTCTCTCGTTTTCAACATAATCAGCAAATTAAAATCTATAAAGTACTGTATAGGCAAAAGGTAAGTATGATTTCTATTTAAACGTTTAATTAGTGATGTTCAAAACCAAAAAACCGTCTGATTAGCCCCATTAGTTAGAAATTTATCAATCGTATTAATACAAAATTAAACTACATTTGAACAGAAAAAAATGTAAGCAACCCACAATCGCCTTGGGTGCTCATGAAGATGCTGTAATCAGAAAATTTTAAACTCGTCAGATCCAACGTTATATAATTAAAAAGTAATCCAAATAAGTGAGAAAAAAAAAGTTTGCACACCCGGTGGGACTCGAACCCACAATCGTTTGATTAGAAGTCAAACGCCTTATCCATTAGGCCACGGGTGCTTTTGATAAGCTTAATCAATATACAAAATTATATACAGTTATATGTTGAGAGGCCGGAGGCATTATTTACCCTTTCACTGTAACTCTCAAACAAATATTTGTCGACTGTTGAGTCTAATTGAAAACTATAAGGGACTGCTTGGCATTAGACTTTGAGGACTGTAAAACATTTCAAAAACTAATAAATCAAATCTATTGAATTTTTAAAAATCTTATTATTAAAATAGTTAAGGTTTATAATCTCTAGATATAGTAAAAGACATTTTTAATATATTCTGCAAAACTCCTGATGCGGAAACTAACGAAGTTACGTAGGTATTAAAAGTCTAGTTGAATGTAACGGAAGCAATACTCGGCTCTCGGACAATTGTTACGACCGTAACGCTTCTCAGGTGCGTGGGTCCCTCCTCTCACGTGCCATTCCCATTCCAAGTTTCCAGATTGCAACTTACCATTGGCTTGGAGTGGTTTACGGTTTGGTTATTTTGTTGTCTACTTATATCAGTTCTATAAAATTGTAACTATATAAAACCGCACGCAATTTATCTTGGTTCGGTTACAGTTTTTTTCTGGTTACTTTTTTTTCAGAAACATTTCATTCAATTTTTGGATGATTAGTCAATGAACATAAACGGAAGTAATCTTAGATATTATTCATTCACCTACACGAGTTTTTTTAATAAAAAACATCATATTGAATTGCTTTGTTTGGATTTATGAAGTTCATCATTCACACAGTCACACATAAAACAATACATAAGACAGAAAATAACAACATACAATTATGTACAAAGAAAACATGATATTCAAAAACACTATACACATTCCGAAACCAAGATGCGAGAACAACAATGACACAAAACCATTCTAAATATCCTCTGAGGATTCTGATTACTTCATATCCTTCCAGAAGAAATGTAAGTTACAATGCACAAAATCAAGAACGTCAGCAAATAATTAATTTTTGATGAGTTAAATGTGACATTTTGATGAGTTAAAGGTTTCACATATATGTTTAGGTTAAACTGTGGAATAATCAAATAAAGTTTTCTAACCAAACATAACAAACAAATACTGTATTTTCATTGAGGTAAGCCGAAATCGAGCTCATATATAAAAATGTTAACCGATAAAGCTTTTCAAAAATTTAACCAAAACCGGATGAATCACCGAATTTAGGTTTGGTTTGATTCGGTTTTTGCAATTAAACTTTTATTTTTATTTTATATTTGCACCCTACCATTGCCTAACGGAGCCGTTGTGACGGCCCATCCCCTTTGCGCTGGTTCACGCATTGACGCCTTCTCCTTCCGTTTCTTTGTCCTCTCGCCGCTAATTAACGCCGTCTCAGGTGCAGCCGCCGCCTTTAGGCGCCGTGAACGTAACCCTAACGGCATCTATTATGGCGTCGTGTGATGACGACTTCTCTCTCCTAGGCGAGGATCAGTCAAACCCTAATCAACAACATCACCACCACCAAGTTCTTCATCACGCGCCGTACGCTCCTAGGCGATTCACCCCGAAGCCCTCGAACCAGATCCTTGTGCCGCATCAACAGAGAAACGGCGACGAAGACGACGAGAACGAAGTCGTTGTCGAGGCTTCTTCTGCCTTTCACGGTGTAAATCCCTTCTCAGCGGACGAGAATTCGAATCCGTATGATAACAACGCAGCTGTCGACGGAGACGAGGAACTCGATGCGAACAGATCCAGAATCGGGGGTCTTCGTGTGGAGAAGAGGCAGAGTCAGGAGGAGCTTAGTGACGGAGGAACAACGAATGGCGGTGAGAACACACCTTACGGTAGCTTCAAAAGGCCGAGGACATCGTCTTCCTCCGCCGGTGAGTACAGGAAGGACAGGGAAGAATGGAGCGACGCGGCGATCTCGTGTTTGTTAGATGCGTACTCGGACAAGTTCACACAGCTCAATCGAGGGAATCTGCGGGGAAGGGACTGGGAAGAGGTTGCTTCATCGGTGAGCAAGAGGTGTGAAAAGCTGATCAAGAGTGTAGAACAGTGTAAGAACAAGATCGATAATCTCAAGAAGAGGTATAAGCTAGAAAGGCACAGGATGAGCAGTGGAGGAATATCAGCTAGCCACTGGCCTTGGTTCAGTAAGATGGAAGAGATTGTGGGCAATTCCTTGGCCACAAAAGGTGCGTCTGATGAAGATAGAAGTGGCAGCTCACTGGGGAATGCTGTGAAACCAGCTAAGAGGTAATGCAGATAACGATCACTTTCGGACTGTTATAGTGCTCTCTATGCTCTTGCCGAATGTAAATATTTGGATTTGTAATGCTTGATTCAGGTATCCCCTGGTAACATATAGCCCTGGAGTTCAGATAAATAACGTAAAATCCAAGGCTACATCAAACCCTAGATGGCGAAGAGTGGTTCTCAAAATCAGTGGTGCAGCTCTTGCCTGCACGGGTCCTAATAACATTGATCCCAAGGTTTCTCACAGCATTCATCATAATCATTTATTATTGTATTTTGCATTATTTTGGTCAGGCAATGAATTCTCTACTTGATTTGTTAGGTCGTCAATCTGATTGCTAGAGAAGTTGCAATGGCTTGTCGTCTTGGTGTAGAGGCAACACTCAGTTCCAGATTGTAATTGTTTCTCCATTGCCCTTTTTTAAAATCCAGTTTAATGATATTCATAGTTTCTTCCTACCAGGTAGCAATAGTTGTTGGGAGTCGGAACTTTTTTTGCGGTGGCACATGGATAACTGCTACGGGTATGGATAGAACCACTGCATATCATATCAGGTTTCGTCTTCTACTTACATTTGTCATATATATCAGTAGCTTTTGCGTTTCAGAACGTTTACTGCTTTTTCCAAAGTAAAAAAAACCTAGACACTGTAAGAGCATTTGTTCTGCTTTCATGATGGGATAATAGGATATGTATCCATTTAAGTTCATCATACTCTGAAATTCTCACACATTTGTTGTCAAAACATCTTTGCACTTAGCTAGCAACGGATTTTAAATGTCATACTATATTTATCGACATCTTATGGATGGGTTGTTCAAATCGAAATGTCTGTTCTCTTGTGTTGTCTTTCGTATATCGACATTCTGGAGATGTGTTGTTCCGGTCACTAAATTTCTGTTGTGTAACAGTATGATGGCGTCGGTGATGAATTCTGTTTTACTGCAATCGTCTCTGGAGAAAATGGGAGTTCAGGCACGATTACAAACTGCAATTGCGGTTCAAGGGGTCGGGGAGCCTTACAATCGTCAACGAGCCACCCGACATCTGGATAAAGGCAGAGTGGTAATATTTGGTGGCATTGGTGCTACGCTTGGAAATCCACTCTTATCATCTGATGCATCTGCAGCCCTTCGAGCTATAGATAGTAATAACTCCTTTCACTCCATCTTAGAGTTCGTTCTTACAATAACCTAAAACTAACTGGTCCTAATCTAAGATCTCTTGTAAGTATTATCATCAGTTAATGCAGAGGCAATGGTGAAAGGAACAAACGTGGATGGTGTTTATGACTGCCATTCACAAGATAGTAACGTCACATTCGAACACATAACATTTCGCGAGTTGGCTTCTAGAGGTCTCACAACGATGGATACAATGGCCCTTAACGTATGTGAAGAGAACAGCATTCCAGGTCGAGATTTCTTTCTCTCTTTCATCATCTTTTTCCATCCTCATAAATGGTAGCGATTTGTGCAGTTTGGAGTCCAATGGTAAACATGTGTATGTATCACGTAGTTTTTGATTTCACCGTCACTTACTCGATAGCTTACTCGAGATGGGACATTTAGAATATTGATTTGATTGGGTTTATAATTGAACGATAACACTATACTTAGCACCTGATGATTGAATCAAACCTTGAATGTAATGTGTGACTGATCCTTTCCTTTCTATGGATGTCAAAAACAGTTGTGGTATTTAACTTTCTGGAAGCTGGGAACATTACAAAGGCATTATGCGGAGAACAAGTTGGTACTCTGATCGATATAACCGGGAGGGGTGTGAGTTAGTATCTGCCTTCACTAAGACTTCCCCAATAAAAAAATAATTAGTGTAAATTCTTAAGGATAATAACCTTTGCCCCACATATCAAATGATATATTTACTCCCATTAACTTTTTTTTTTCTATGGTTCACTTACTTTATTTGATCAATTTTGTTTATATAAAATTGAATTTTATTTATCCAAATTTGATGGCCAAATAGATTTACCTAATTGAGGAAAAAAAAAAAGATTTACCTACTTACCTTTTTCTTAAGATCACTTATATTAATTCATAAAATTTTAGATGTTCAAATGTATATAATGCATTCATATTTCTTTTTTAGTCTTAAGATGGTATTATGTTTTCAATTTTGATAATTATAATAAACAATTCATAATTGATCTAACTTATATTAATGAAAAAAAAAATAATAAAAAGACGTTTCTGTAATGTACGAGAAAGCCAAGGGAGTTTGCTGGAATCTTCATCAGATATTTGTCCCCTCCCTTCTTATCCTCACTCACCTCACTCTTTATATAAAACACTATTATCTGATCATAACGCAGAGAAACGCAAACGCAGCGTGTGATTTTGATTGATTCTGTATTCCACAAAGAGTTTTAGTTGAGAGCGAGTAAAAAGATGCAGACGGTATCAGTTGACGAAACCAAAAACACGGTGGTGCTGCGGGCGGAGCACCCGGACAAGGAAAGTCGGAAATCTGTCGAGAAATTCGAAGTGAAGACTCGAAACCCGGAGACGATCAAGCAGGTGGAGCGGAAGCTGATGGAAAAAGGCGTTCAACGGATGGATAGGCACTCTTCCGACGGAATTCCGCTCAAACGACCGCCGTCAAAGTCCGGTCACGGTGGGAAATACACGTGGGAGGGGCCTGATCGAATGGAGGATTACGAGATGCAGCCAGATCCGCCGGCGATGGACGAGGGAGATCCAAATTACGACGAGGAACAGACGAAGAAGAAGATCGGTGATGATGACGTGGCGGTGGCTCTTGTGAGAGGAGAGGTTGAGGTGGCGAAGGAAGCGCCGGCAGGTGTGGCTAGAGTTGAGGTTGATCCTCGCTTGATCAGTCATTAGTGGGTTCATCCGAGTTTTTAAGGAAGTTGTGGGGCGAATGTGAGAAGTAAGGGAAAATGTGATGGTTAGATTTTTAATTTCGAGTTTGTGATGTTTTGCTATGTATTGACGTGGAACGCTATCTGTGTAAAATAATAATAATTGAACCCACTCGGTGATCTTTTGTATTTTGACAGAAACGACAAATGCCACATCGTAGCCGATTATTTACGACGACGAATATGAACAAACACGCGATTTTACTGACTTGTTTATTGATTTGTAGATCATAGCTCCTTAGGGAAGAAGTCGCTAAACATATGCGTAGATCTGAAGAACAATTATTATTATAAACTCACACGACATTAAAAATTTTGATAGAGAAATATCAATAAAATGCAGGCTGTGGGGTTCGAACCCACGCGCACTTATGTGCAGAAGAACTTAAGTCTTCCCCCTTAACCTCTCGGGCAAACCTGCTCTCGTTGGTCTGGCTATATGATTTATTTTAATATATTATAATGTAGGCTTGTGGGAAACCTAGGAAATTGAGTTACTTCGGCCCAATGCGAACATGATTACTGGGCATATTGAAACATATAGGCCCAGCTATAACAGAGTATAAAGTTTTTTCTTTTGTCACTAAGTGAAAATATAAAGTTCACTTAATTCATGCTCCAAAAACAAAGATATGAAGTTCACTTAATCCAGCTTCTCTCTAGATTATTCACATGTGTTCATACTTATTTGGACTAATTTCAATGATTTACTGGAAGAAAAAAAACATAGTAATCACTAATGCAGCTTTACTGTGTTCCTCCGTATTCCAACGAAATACCGAATTGGTCGTAGATATTGATTTAGGCTCAATTAATGAATCACAAATGTATGTAGCTTTAACAGTTTAACGTTAATTAATGACGGCGTCAAACCGGTTTTGTAACGAAGTCGTGCACGTGAATTGTTAAATTCCCGTTTGGTCATGCGTTTCCTTCCACTCTCGCGGACCACTGAATGACGCTCTTTTTTTGCTTTTTAGCAGTGGCCAGAGTCCAGATAATGCTGAATCTCTGAAATGACTACTGTGCCCTTTTCTCATTCATCCCTTTTTTTCTTTATGTTGTTGGTATTTCTGTGTGTTATACCTTGGTTAGAAAATGGGTCTCTTTGACCAAAAAAAAAAAGAAAATGGGTCTCTTTCTGTATCGTTATCTTTTCTAAATAAGAAAAAAAAAATTATTTCTATTTCTGGTAGATTACATTATTTTTTTAGGAAAAAGACTAGCTAAATCGGCATTAGTGTTGTTGGACCAAAAATTGAAAATGGTTATGATAGAGATAAATATTTACCACAGAGACTCTCAGTAGTGAAATAAAGACAAAGTGCAAGTAAGATCATACACATTTTAGCTTTTATTACGTGCAGTGAAACTCAATAAGCCGGCTAACATCGAGTAATATTATATCATATACAAAACAAATAAAACAGAAGTAAAGAAGAAGAGATGTTCTATAAGAAATTTTATTATTATGTAGTTTATTTCAGTTTTTCGTGGCATTATTATATATATGGATTGAACATTGTGGGAATGAGTTGTGGATGTGGAGAGGTCAGAAAAGTAATTAGAAAACTTATTTTTTACCTTTTCTGTATTTCTGCATATAACCGACAAAGTAATTTCATAGATATTGCTTTCCTTAAAGCTCTCTAATTTTTTTCTCTCAACACTCTCTACTCTCTATTTTCTGGTAATCTTTCTTCTACTCTCCATTTTTGCTCGAATCTGTTCCTTTCAACTGAAGAACTTATCGAAATCTCTCTCTTTCGATGGAACATTGACACTAATTTTAAAGATTTTGAGTACGTTTCACCTGATCACAAAATAATCAAACTCTTAATGCCATTTATGGTTTGCTTTCAGTGACTAAAAAATAGAGTCGAGCTAGTTTCTTCATCTCTTTGTCTTGATCTGGGTTTTTTATCTCTCACAGGCAAAACTTGTTAGCTTGAAAACGGAGACGAGGAACTCACCTGGGTTTTCAAGATATGGAAAGTGAAGAATCGATCTGTCACAGCATGCGATACAACCACCCGCCTGATTCAGACAGGTTTTGAGGCTCACTGCTCCATTAATTTTTTTTTTTTTTTTTAATGGCTTTGTTCTTCTGGGTTTTCCATATCTTTGGTGATTCTGTTTTTTTTTTATTATTATTACAAAAGAAACACTGCAAAAGAAAACGCTGTAAACGGAACTTAGCAACATGAGTAAAATCAGTTTTGATGAATTTTGGTCCTGGTTGTGTAATCTTTAGTGTCTGTGCAATTACTACCTTTTTTTGTTGTTGTTGTTATTTTCTAATTGGAATGATTGTTCAAGCAGGAGGAGGCTAAGTCTTGAAAACTTACCAGGACTGTATACTATGTCTTTTACGCAACTATTGGCTCAGATTCATGCGATCGGCACAAATTCATCAGTTGGTGCAGCATCAATCCCAAGCTATGCTGCAGATTCTCAAATTTCAAATGATTCTTGGGGCAATAGTTGGAAGATTGAGCCAAATCCGTGGATTTTAACCCCTGGATCCTTCCATGGTACAAAAACATGCATTGTTGGAGAAGGACCAATGGAGAAACCACAATGTGAGTAAACTTTTGCCTGAAATTATTTTTTCTCCCTGTAGATCGGATTTAGAGCTGAGTGCTTGAAATTATTAGCCGATGAAATTTGAAATGAAGTTTATGTTAAGTTCTCAGTGAGGTTTCAAATCATGAAGTCTGTTACCTGAATATCTTTCTTTTGTCTTGATGAACTGCAGATGAGGAGCCTCACGACCCTATCGTTAAGCCTTTCCATGAAGCTCGATCTGCTGCAGGAGAAAAAGAAATAAAGAGAGGAAGAGCTGAATCAGATGATGACATTGCTCCGTTGGAAACACCGCAACCGAGACAGAAGAGAAAGAAGATCAGGGGAAAGGTTGCTGGTGATGTCGTCACAAGAAAATCCACATCTAAATCAGCGGTTAAAAAAGCTTCTGCTACTGCTCCGTGTGCTAACACTTCTGAAGTTAACACTTATGTTCGTTGTCCCAAGAGATCGTGCAGAAGATCTCTTATATTTAACAATGATGCTGAAGAAGAAGATGGATATGGTGGGCTTACTTTCACTTCAGAATATCGCATAGGTACTTCTTCAGGTTGGAAAATAGAACAAGATGCAACAATGCGGATATTTGGTAACATCCCCAGGGGAATAAGAAATACCAGGACTAGGTCAAAGCGGCAAACGTTAAAAACGGATCCTAAGGGGAGTCTTCGGCTTCCACAAAATCTAGAAACTACCCTTATTCTACATCAAAAGGCATATCAACAACAAAAGGCAGCGGTGCAGTATAAGAGTGATGGGTCCATCATCCCTTATCGTAATGAGAAAAACTATCAAACCAAAGTAGCTTTGGATGGCGAAACATTGAGAGTGTGGAAACTCCTGATGTTGAGTAATGAAAGTGAAGGTATTGATGGGTTAGAAGAAGATAAACAAAAATGGTGGGAAGAGGAGAGAAATCTGTTCCGCGATCGTGCAAACTTATTTATTGCTCGGATGTCTCTGGTACAAGGTATTATTGCTATGACATTGTTTTATGGGTTGAGTTTTAAACCTCAGTTGATAATTTTACACAAAGCTAAATATTCTAAAAGCAATCTTGTTAATGCAGGTGATAGAAGCTTCTCACCTTGGAAAGGATCCGTTGTTGATTCAGTTGTTGGAGTTTTCCTCACCCAGAATGTAGCAGACCACTCATCAAGGTAAAAACATTCTAGAGAATTTTGATAAACCTAAAATATATGCAATGGTGTTTTAAACTATCAACTTCGTTATTTTTGTAGTTCTGCATTTATGGATATAGCTGCAGAGTTTCCAGTAATCTCCATATCCAACAAGGAATTGTATCATGAAGGGTGGGAAAGTTCAGTTACAGATGAAACGGTAATGAATTTGGATCCAGGAAGTGCAGCTCCAACTCCAAGAATTTCCAACCCAACCATCATCTTCGTAGATGAGATTGATGATGATGAAGATGTTTGTAGCCAGAAATCATCTACAAGCAGTGACAAGTCCATCAATTCTACAAACCATTCAAAAACAGTGCTGCTGGATCTTCTTACTAACAGCTCCGAGGCAAACTTTGATGAAGGAACTCGAGTTGCACATACAGGCGACGGTCGGCAACAAAAACCGAAGACAAAAACATATCAGCATGACATGAAGAAAAAGAAGAATAGGAAGAAACCTAAAGAAAGCTTTGACTGGGATAGTTTGAGAAGGGAAGCAGAAAGTGGTGGCCAAAAGAGACAGAGAACAGAAAGAACAGCGGACACGGTTGATTGGGACGCATTACGTTGTACCAATGTAAACGAGATCGCTGATATTATAAGAAGTCGTGGGATGAACAACATGCTTTCCCATAGAATCAAGGTTTGACTAATTTACAAAAAGGTTACTCTAAATTCCTGATATACGTAGGAGAAAATTTACAATCTGACAAAGTGAAATCTTATATTTGGAAATTGGACAGGCCTTCTTAAACAGATTGGTTCAAGACCATGAAAAAATTGATTTGGAGTGGCTAAGAGATGTTCCACCTGACAAAGCCAAGTAAGAATATTTTCTTAAAATTTCAGGTTTTTCTAGTTCTAAAGCGTTCTGGTGTGAAATGAAGTTATGTGACTAGACTACTAACTCATTGTTGCAGGGAGTATCTAATGAGCATAGACGGAATAGGATTGAAAAGTGCTGAGTGCGTTAGGCTTTTGTCACTACATCAGATTGCCTTCCCCGTAAGTTAATAAAAAAAACTTTTCCACACTGATGTGCAATAGAGATATTAAAAGTTACATACTTAAAAATGCAGGTTGACACCAATGTGGGACGTATAGCTGTAAGACTTGGATGGGTTCCCTTACAGCCATTACCCGACGAGCTACAAATGCATCTCCTAGAGCTGTAAGCAATTTTACGAAAATCTTTCTTTCACAATGATTAAAACATGTGAGATTGTTATATCTAAACCCTTAATTTTGTTCAGGTACCCAGTATTGACATCAGTTCAAAAATATCTCTGGCCACGCCTATGCAAGTTTGACCAAAAAACTTTGTAAGAAAGTACATTGTTTTTGCTGCATTTTACATATTGGTCCATTACTCGAAAATCCAATTTTTGTTTTTTGAAAATTTAGTAGCTTACTGAAGCATATGATTTTAGGTACGAGTTGCATTACCATATGATTACATTTGGAAAGGTAACTCAAACAACTTTCATGTGTCTCGTTACATCTTACTACAATGGCTGAAAAATATTCTTATGCTTTGGTAATTTTGCAGGTCTTTTGCACAAAAGTAAAACCGAATTGCAAAGCATGTCCAATGAAAGCAGAGTGTCGTCATTATGCTAGTGCTAGTGCACGTGCAAGGTTATACTCCCAAACTTCTGACTTTAGTTCCATTAAATGATACAGGCGCACAAAATTATCATTTGCTATCAGCTATCATTCACGTTAGCGTTAAAAAATCTAATTTCTTAAAGAGAATGAGACAAAGGATCATTAAAGCATAAACGTCTATAAGGAAATCTGTCATTCTGTCTGAGCATATTGTAAAACATTTAATCTGCTCAAGAATTAATGGTTTGTATTCTTTTACACGTTGTGTTATATGGCAGTGCACTACGTGCTCTACCGGAAGCAGAGGAGAAAGGATGTGTGACAATCCATCAGAGAAGATCTAACCCCAACCCTGTAATGGTGAATCAATCTTTATTTCTTACTCAAGACAAAGAGCATGAAGAATCAAAAAGACTCCATAGATGTGAACCGATAATCGAAGAGCCATCATCACCAGAGATAGTCTGTCCTGATATCGAGGATTTTCCTGATCCGTGGGAAAATATGGACTCGATTCCGACCATCATACTTAATGATGGAGCTACTATCTCAAAGGATTTGGTGGTCATAAGCTCCCAAGCAGCCTCAATAACCAGGCCTAAGCTTAAACTCATAGAAAAGCTACGCACGGAGCATTACGTGTAAGTTACAACTTTCCAGATTTGTCTCTTATTATCATCCCAAACTTAAACTTGCGAGTTTATTCAGCATTAATCTCATTCTAATTTGTTTTTTTTTTAAATTCTGATTTTGTTCTCTAACTATGTGACAGCTACGAGCTCCCAGACAACCATCACATTCTGGAAGGGGTTAGTACTTTGCAAAAGATTTAGCAAGAATGTTCCTATTTCTCCATGTCATAGAAGCTCTCTTTGATATTTTACAGTTTGAGAAGCGAGAACTTGAGGATAGAGTTCCCTACTTGTTAGCTATTTGGACGTCAGGTTAGAAGAAACACAGCAAGAACTGATTACGATTATTCATTTTTGAGGATCAAAGATGAAAAAAAATACACTACAATTTTTCAGGTTTCAGCGTTAGATGCATTTAAATACTTATGATTTTTGAATAATGTATATCAGGTGAAACAGCTAGTTCCATTCAACCTCCGGAACAAAAATGTGTATCCCAAGAAAGCAATATCTTGTGTCATGAAAAGACATGTTTTTCATGCAACAATAGGCGAGAAGAAAATGCACAAGTAGTTCGAGGAACTGTATTGGTAAGATTTGGAGATTTTGGTGGAAAACTTTTCTAAGAGTTTCTAAGTAGGAAACACAGAGGAATTTATAAAGATGACTGCTTGGTTGTGAACAGATTCCCTGTAGAACGGCCATGAGAGGAGGCTTTCCTCTGAACGGGACGTACTTTCAGACGAACGAGGTAACATTTGCCTAATTGGAGTTAGTTGGAGCAATTACTACATGCAAAGTTCTACTGTAGGCTAAATTTGAGTTACTTGTGCAGGTATTTGCTGACCATGGCTCTAGCATAAACCCGATTGACGTCCCAAGAGATTCCATAGGGGGCCTACGAAGAAGAATAGTGTACTTTGGATCCTCAGTAAGCGCGTGTTTTGGAGGTAAAATCTCAAAAGATCAATTTATGCATGTGTATGATATATGTATACATCCAAGGTCATGCCTTAATATACATTTCCAATTTGTTAGGTTTATCGCTGGATGCTATTCAAAACGGTTTCTGGACAGGTATGCTAATGTTTGATGCTTATGCTCTGGTTAGCTGGAAACACCTTTAAGAAGCTCATACTAACAGACTTTGAATTCACGGAAAGAATTTGGAACAGACAAAAATTCATGAACTAGGAACAGACAAAAATCAGTCAGTGTGTTTTTTCTTTGGTGAAGTAAGATGCTTTGAAAGAAAGTATTGAAGAGAGTCCATATTGGTTAATGAAGAGGATTCACTGATACAAGGTTTCATAATAACAGTTTTGGGGTTGCATTTTGATTACAATTGTAAAATGTGCAGGATATGTATGCGTGAGGGGGTTTGACCGGAGGAGTAGGAAACCAAAAGCTCTGGTAGAAAGACTTCATTGCCCACCCAGCAAAAGGAAGAAAGACGACTATTGAGTGAGCAACATACGTTTTTTTCTGGATCGATGAATAGAAGCGATTGAGCATAGAAGCGTTCTAGAGACAGACTTGGATAAACGAGAATTAGCCGCTTTTAGTTAGCTTTTAAAATGATCTTTGATTTCTTCTTCTCTTTCCCTCTTGACTATCTCCGACGTTATAATGGGCTTTGAAATATGGCCCATAATATATAAAAAATTCGGCCTGCAAATACTCGTGTAACAACACAAATTTTTTCCCTTGTCGAGTTTCGGTAACAATACAAATCCACCACTTATCAGATTAAAAATACACAAATAGCCAAATCAGAGACATAAACTAAAACGAATCAGATCATATACAATTATATAACTAAAGACATAAACTAAAGGTTATTTTGTATGTATAAAGACTAAATACAATCAGAGACACTAAAGGTTATTTTATGTATAATGAATAGAAATATTGAATTGATGACATGTCAAGCCATAGGTGGGCAGAGTAGGGGACAAACTCATCTCTTCATTGTAAAACCATACCAGTTTCTCTATGTATCATCATTACTTTAAAATTATTCTCTCCCCATTTCTCCGGTTCTATCATACAGGTCCATTAATTATGAACTTATCTTCCTTGATAATTTTGTTTTTACAAAGCATAAGTATAGAATTAAAACGGTGAAAATTAAATAACACAGAGAGAAACAAAAAAAAAAATACAAAAGGAAAAACAAAATATTACCACGTGTAAACGTAACCGTCTCTCCTTCACACTCGCCAAGCCAACCCTCAAGCCACATGCAATAGATAATCAAATTCTTGTTTTCATTGGATAAAACGGCTAAAACCCATAAAGTTCTATTGGATTAAAAGATAACACAGATCTGTAGTAAACTTCATTGGTCAATAGCTCTCGAAGGTTTGGAGAAGGAGTAATTTAAGCGGCGGGACATAGACGACGGCGAGATTCCAAACGCGCAAGACTCTAGAGACCATTAAAAACAACAACATGAAGCTAACGGGAGTCTAGATGCTATGTAAGCGTTTCACAAAAACAATACTCTGTTTTTCATAGTTAACTTTCCACGGTGCGACGGAAAAACGACTGCGTTTTTGTGTTTTCCTTTTTTAATACAACAAACGATGACGCCAGTTTAACTGCGGTTAAGATCAATAATAATATATTTGTATAGCAGCGTAGCTTTAAGTAAGAAATCTTTAATTGAGATTTTTTTTTTTTTCTCAGTTAAGTATATAGCTTGAGATTTTTCTTTTTATGGTTTTTCCCTTTTCTTGTTTAGCAGGACAATACACTATATAGGATTCTTAGGTAATTAACATAATCCACAGTTTGAGTCTTTGAGAGATGGCTACTAGCAATCCTGCGACCAAGCTTGAGGTTTCATTATATCCCTTATTTGATATGTCCTAAAGATAACCTTTTTTAAATTTTATTATTTTGAAATGATCACAACCCATTTATTGTTAACTAAATCTCTCCAGGGAAGATACTACGCTCTCGCTGTTTGTTGGCTTCTTGGAAATGGATGCCTTTTAGCATGGAGCAGTATGCTCACAATAGTGGATTATTACGCTTATTTGTTCCCTGTGAGTGGAAAACGTTTTTGTTTTATATGAAAATGTCTCATAATTAGTCTTGCTTAACTTGCTGTGTAGAGTAAACCTCGATCGTCTATATTGTTTTTGACTTGTTTTCTTTCTACTCGTAGAGATACCATCCATCGAGAATCCTTACCCTAATATATCAGTCATTTGCCATCGGAGCACTCACTGTTCTTACTTACAAAGAGGCAAAACTCAATACCAGACTCCGAAATTTGTTTGGATATAGTCTATTTTTTTCCTTAGTTCTCTTGCTGTTCTAGTGGTGAGTTACACTCTATCAAGGTTTTTTTTTTCTTGCACTACGTACAACCATCATAAGCTTGATGCATGGCTTATATATATATATATATATATATATATATTGTCCTGCTGTGTGGCAGTTAGATTTAGCTACTTCGGGAAGAGGAGGGATTGGATCTTTCCTTGGAGTCTGTGTAATTAGTGCCACATTTGGTCTCGCAGATGCTAATGTTCAAGGTGGAATGACTGGAGACCTTTCTTTGATGAGACCAGAGTTTGTTCAGGTAATTAACTATGGTCTCGTTTGTTCATTTGCGTTTGAATCTTATACACATTATATGTTATTTTTCTTTTTTTTTGGCATTACAAAACCTATGAAAAATGTGATTTATATTAAGATGTCAGTTTTATTATATACGATTATGTCTTCCTCCATGCATGTGTTTGTATGGCTTATAATTAATTAATGCTAGTCTCTGACTTGTGTTAAATGCCTTGGCCAATATAATCCCAGTCGTTTCTAGGTGGCCTAGCTGCCTCAGGAGCATTAACATCTGGGCTGAGGCTGATCACAAAAGCGGCATTCAAAAACTCGAGGGATGGTCTACGTAAGGGAGCTAGTAAGTTTTGGACCCTTTTTTTCTTCTTAGAAAACATGTTAGAGATGTCAACTTTGATCCTCCAAAATAATACTAATTGTTACATGGTTTTTGACAACATTTGCAGCTTTATTCTTTGCGATATCTGCATTATTTGAGTTGCTTTGCGTCCTTTTGTATGCATACGTGTTTCCAAAGCTACCAATTGTGAAGTACTACCGAGCACGAGCTGCCGCTCAAGGATCTAAAACTGTATCGGCCGATCTTGCTGCTGGAGGCATCCAAGGCTTACCAGTGACACATGTACACCATTGGGATTTTTTTTTTTTTTGGCAACAGGATTAACATGTCTAAAATCTTAAAACTAGCTTTGGTGGAGTATAAGATTTAAAGACAAATATACTTTTTATGCAGGCCGAGGAAGTCCCAACTTCAAATCAGCGGTTAAGCAACAAACAGTTGTTGTATAAGAACTTAGATTACGCAGTTAACTTGTTCTTGGTGTATCTACTGACGCTTAGCATTTTCCCTGGATTTCTATCGGAGGACACAGGAAAACACAGTTTAAGAGATTGGTAAGACAAACAAGCTTTTACGTGTGAGACAAGTTTAGGAAAAAAACAATCAAACATATAAAACCTAGAAAAATTGTCTAAACAGGTATGCATTAGTCCTGATAGCAATGTTCAACGTGTGGGATTTGGTGGGGAGATACATTCCAGTGGTCGAGAGTTTGAAGATGGAATCGCGGAAAGGTCTCACTATAGCAGCATTGGGACGTTTCTTGTTTATTCCTGCTTTCTATTTCGCAGCCAAATATGGCAATCAGGGATGGATGATTTTCTTGACATCGTTTTTGGGATTAAGCAATGGATATATGACTGTTTGTATCCTAACATCGGCACCAAAGGGTTACATGGTATTAAAAATCTCATTCTTTTTTTTTTTCTTTTCTTTTGTTGTTTAACTAAAACGATATATACTGATGATAGTAATTCTCAAAATTTGAAAATTGGTATAGGCACCGGAACAAAATGCACTAGGAAACTTGTTGGTGCTATTTTTGTCTGGAGGGATGTTTGCAGGAGTTACTTCTGACTGGCTTTGGCTTATTGGTAAAGGTTGGTAAGTGGCCATAGTTTGAGGCAATCTTTCCCATCAAGACGGGAATCGGTTTCTCCTATGTATATACTCAAAGCCTTAGATTCAATAGGAAAGCATTGAGTTTGAGAATTGTTTTTCCTGAAAAACTAATGCAATACATCAGAATTGATATCATATGTTTTATTTTAACATATACTTATTTGTTTGCAGTTTTTATTCTCTACAAAATTTTACCTCACAAGGGAAAAGCCACCATAGTAAAAGGACTCATTTTCGCCTGCTTAGTGTGTTTTTTGTTTTTAACGCTTAAATATTTTATACGAAAATATAGGCGTTTCATCAAAACCAACGAGAAAAGTAGGTTGAAATTGTTTTTTAATGAAAAAATCAGGTTGAAGTTCAGCTTAAAATCCTGAAAAATACAAAACAGAATAATTTACCAAGCTGCAAGCATGTGTGATCCTGTTATTGCAATTTATACGTTGCATAGTGATTATGGAAAATAAAATAAAATAGTTGTTTTTAGGTAGTGGTCAAGAATTTTCATCGCGACTAGGAACTCTTGATTGTAGTTATTATTCATTGTGGTGTGAGTAATATAATACATCAATTTATTTTATCAACATGACATACATATCTGGGAGTGGAATTGGAATTTTATGACACATGATTAATCATTGGGGATGCTCTGCAGAAAAAAAATGATTATCTTTTATATGCTCTTTTATGATGTTTACTCTGTCTCCCATTGTAGTATCCACATCATCATTGACCACTAATGTCTCACTGATGCACCCTCCCTAAAATAATGACATAAACGTACGCCTAAAATAATATCAAAATGTGGCTACTACTATTAACAGATAAACGGCTATAAATTGTAAGTGTTTGTCGTCTTTATGATTTGTACGTTTCCGGTCTAGAAAAAAATATACACAATTACCTTCTGGATATTTTTCTTGATTTTTCTAAATGAAATAAGTCTATGTATAAAACAATGTATAGATCCTTTTCAGTAACGGTCATTTGGAAATAAATCAAATTCGGGAAAGGACAACATAGATCACATCTGATCCACGATGACGATGCCATCTCAACTTTTCAACGTACCGATCGCACATTTATAGTAATTTAATTTATTTAATCACACAATATTCTTTTAATCTTTCTATTTTTTCCCATCAATTTCACAATACACATGACATTAAGCAATTTGCATTTTAATTCTTAATATTTTCTATAATTTGTACTGCAAGAATGTAAAAACATTGGTTTTCAAAAGAAATTGAAGGCAAAGTAGAGAGAATAAGATTGAGGGAAAAGAAAAGTAGTGTTTAGTTACAAACCTGTCTTTATAAGTATTTTTTTGAAGTTACTTCCTAAAAATAAAAAAAATAAAACCATCTTAAATTATCCAGGAAACCCTAACAAAAGATAGTGATAATAGTAGTAATATAACACACGACGATTATAAAATATAAATTACATTCACCATCACAAAACCTAAACGTAGAGTTAAAACACTCAGAGAATGATCTCTGGCCTCCAAGAAGTTTTGTTGTTCTCTCTTGGATTCAAAGTCAGTGTATAGAATCTATGTTCTTGCTTAGCTCTTCCAGCTTCTTCATTCTCATCTTTTCGCTTTCTCCCACCAACTGCGAATCATTCGTTTCCAAAACCCGTTAGTCAAGAATACAAATCAGAGTGAATATAATCAACAAATATCAGAGCGCGACTGGTTTGATCAATATGTTCAGTTTACAGACAAGACATGTGAAAAACATATGCACAAATGTTTGATGGGAACATACTTTTTCGATATGTAACTCGCACAAACAGATGTCTAAGATCGAGTTTAGAAATAACTAATTCCGCAAACTAAGCAAAAGACTCGCATATAGCTATAAGCAAACATACAAATCGGTCCAAGAAATGAACGGGAAAACCTGAAGACAAAAAACTGAATCCGCAAGATCACGAGGTTGCCTAAAACTATTGGTTTTTGATGCGACTTTATCCATACAACTGTACAAGCAAGGGTAATGTGAAAAAAAATCCGAGAATACAGAACCAGAAACCAGAGAGAAGCAGAACCACAACTATATTCAACAAGAAAACAGATTTTATTAGTTGTTGACTAACCTCCATTAGCTTGGTGATTAGCTGCACCTTCTCCCTGTTCTTTTCGTTGAATGCTTCAAGAGCTTCTTTGTACTCTCGTTCCTGCACGTTGCGTAAATACAGCAGATTAGCATCTTAATCCTAAACCCATATAATTTGAATTCGGTTCGATTATGGTTTTTCCCTTACCTTTTTCTGGACTGTATGACCCAATGGCTTTAATTCTTTGTTGACAGAATCAATCTTCTTCCTGACCAAAGCAACTTCTTTCCTCATGGGATCAGCTAAACCTTCAAGTTCCTGATATGCAATTTAACCATTGAGCTTCTTAGTCATCATCATAACGTACATTTCCCAGAAGAAGCAAATTGTTCTTTTCATCAAAAAAAGGAAAGAGCTTTAATCCACAGAGCTCAACTTTAACAGTTTTGTAACCCAGAAAGTGGAAAAATCTAGAACCCAGATTACTGATCCTGGACATCACGTAGAATAAGCAAATGGTTCTTTTCACAAAAACTTAATCCACAGAACTTATTTTTGAGCAAATGGGTTTTACAATTTTATCTACGAATCTAGAAACTTTCACTGATTCGTCTACAAACCCCATGACCAGACTAAATCCAGCTTCTCGTGCTATTGATCACTTCAATCCTAAGCCAAACACAAAAGACCCAAACAAAATTTTCTTACTGAACAAATCACACAAAACCCAAAAGAAAAATATAATTTTTTTTGCTCTCAAGGCAATTGTCAGATCTTGAAGTTTCCAATACTTGGGTCCTACAATTTCTCTCTAATTATGAATTAAAACCACATACTTCACTGTATATAAACCCCAAAATGCTCAATTTTACATCCCAATTTTGGTTTCTTCTGTATAAGAAACCAAAATTCAAGCACAATTCTCAAAAAAAAAAAAAAAAAAAAAAAACTATGATAAGATCATAAGAGTGATGAATATATATATATACCTCACGGATCAGAGCAAGACGCTTAGTCTCTTCTTCGACACGACCAAGCTGAGCTTGAACCCTTTCCCTAATTTCCATCTTCTTCTTCTCGATCTCCTCTTCTTTCGCCCTAAAAGCCGACAAAGCCGTCCTCGACATCTCTTCGTCTTCCTTCGACATTTGGCTGCTGAAACTCATACTTCCCGACAACTGAGCCCCTAACTGTCGGCTATGCACCGCCGGAGCCACCGTCGGCTGCGACGTCTCTATTGCCTGCATCTCCTTCATCTTCACTATTCGCTCCTTCTACACTAAAATCCCTTTAGCTCAACTCTCTCTCTCTCTCTCTCTTGTCGTCTCTCTCTCTATCTCTCTGTCTGGTTCTAGGTTCTTCTGTGGTAGAGAAAATGGATACTGAGCTTTCTTTTTTGAACCCAAAAAATAGTGCTGTGATATGAACATATATAAAGATAATTAAAAATTTCAGGGTAAAAAACAATGATATTTTATTTATAACGGGAACTTTTGTAAATAAACAAATAATATTGAAACGTATAATTAAAAGAGATATCAGGCAAAAAAGAAGAAATATTACCTAACTGCCACCAACAACCGATAAAGAGATTCAGAAAGGATTTTCGATTTTTTTTCTTTTTTAAATAAAATATAAAAGCGAAGAGTATCTGATTCGTAGCCGTTAATCTTCGAGATTTCTGCTATGACCGTTCGATCTATGATCCGACAACGAAAGAAGTAAAACGGGTGACCCGTAGAACCCGGAGACAGCTCGTTACAACTTTCGTAAATACCGAACCAAACTCAACCAGTGTCTTAATTCTGGGTTCTCATTGGTCGATACTAAATTATAATATTATCGGATTCTTCTCCTTCTGTTACTGTATACTTATAGTGTGTACCAAACCATTGGGTTATTTTTCAATTTAACCCCATTTCTTAAAACTACATTATGCTATTATTAACAAAAGCAAACAAAACTGCATTTATTTTGGAGATATCCTACAGTTACACAAAAATCTACATATCAAGTTTGTTCTTCGTCAAATTTATTTGTATTTTTATGACTAAATTTCTGTTCTTCGTCAAATTTATTTGTATTTTTATGACTAAATTTCTGTTCTTCGTCAAATTTATTTGTATTTTTATGACTTAATTTCTCTCCAGATTTCTATTACTAACAAATTGTAAATATCAATGTGAACAATTCTTAGTTTAACAAATAGCCTTTTCAAGTAAAAATCGTGATTTTAACAATAATCGCGATAATAGGTAACGGAAAACAATTCTAGTATAACTTGTGATCAAAATGGAAAATCAAATGGGATTCGGTTTCAGATTAATTTTATTTTGATCAACTTTAGTTACTCAATAAATCGTCTGCTAATTAATTTGCTATATATTCTATTTCGATAAAAAGATACTTATTGACAGAAAAAAAAGGAGGAGAAACGTAAATGCGAAGGCAAAGGGCAATAGCCAACTCAGCCAACGGCTTCATCTACGGGCCTTCGAAGCAAGAATCCTTCTTTTTAATTTCTTTGTTAACTTTTTTTTTTCTTCACTCTTTTTCTTTTCCTTAATGGAATTTTACTTTTATTCCAGTGTATTTTATAAAACTATTCCTCTAAACTATAAGCTAGCCATCATCTCAACTCAAGATATAATAGTCACACTGTTTTCATGGTGGGGTTTTCAATCTTGTCCTCATTAGGAAATTTGAAATTTGTGTTTGTCCCACAAATTAATATGAAAAAATAGTTTCGCAAGGTTTTGTTGTTTTATTATATAGATCGAAAGATAGCTCACCTACTAATTGACATAAAACCATATATATATATATATATATATGATTTCACAGATTGTTTAAGTATTACAATCTACTAATAAAAATGTCCTTAGTTTCTATTCATTTATAAAAAAATTAGTGCATGGTTTGATATCAATATGGTTCAAATTATTATTTTTGGTTACGCTGTTCAGGATATTAACCAAATATTTGTGTTGAAGTTAGTGTTATACGGTTTAGTTAGTTGAGCGCTCGACCTGAGAACAACTTATTGAGGTGAAATTGAGTTAATATTAGATTGGTGTCAGTTCAATTTCGTCAGAAAAACTGTGAAATTATCTGTGATTTCATTACGTTTTGGGTCGTTTTATTTGACTTCATTTTGGAATAAACTCGTTCGAAGCACAACAACCAAAAAAAAAAAACGACGAAACCAAAACGTAGATAAGATGGACGGTGAGGATTGAGTCTAGCAAAAAACATAGAAAGAAGCTGATCCATTAGTCAACGTGTGCTTCTCTGCCATCAAGGACCCACTACACCGGTGTTTTTGTTAGCGCATGCATCAGATTATCATTTGGCACCCATCCTTTCTTTTTTCTTTTCTTTTTTTTTATCGATCCCAACTTGTCCTTGTTTTGTCAAAGAAAAAAATCTATAACATTTCTGTATAAACACAATGTATCAATACATTGCAAATACCGACCAACCATTGCTGTGTATGTGTTCAAAGCGTTTGCAACGCATGGACACGTCTTTCATGCTCCATCATTCCAACTTTAGTCCTAATATTAGGGAATTTTGTGGGAAATTTTTATTGGTTATCTTAAGACTCCTAGTTGCAATGATCATTAATTTAATTGAGCAAGAGGATATCGACTTTATACCTAATTGCCAGCATCAGCACTAATTAGAATTTGGTGGTTGGATTTGCTGTGTCTCAGATCAACCTCATATTTTCAATTATTTTTGTATTTTTATTTAACGGTATGTGTGATGTCTGTCTCTCTGTCCATGCCAGACGATTTTATTACGAAAGATTAATCTAGTTAATCGTGATTATTACGGGATCTTATTACTCTATAACGCAACTTTTTTTATTAAATGGAAACGATTGAAATTGTTATGACTTATGACAGTGGATCTTATTTGAACCTTAATTGTAGCATTTGCCCTAAAAACATTATGGAGATTTTACGACAGTATGCCCTAAGAAGATAAGTTTACTACCATATATTTTCATCTCTATGATTAATTAATTAGTTAAAAAAGAAAGAAAAACATAGCAATGATATGTCTCATATGGACGAAGAATGAAGAGAGAAAGTATCTTTGTGTTTTGGCGGTTACCCTAAGCCAACTAACATCCCCAAAGATTCTGGTCCCTACGATACCATTATTGTCCTTGTATTTTTCATGTATATTTTTTTCCTTAGAATATTGTATTAACAAGTACTAATTATATGAACGTAATGTTAATAGAATATAACTTGGGCATTCAATACAATATACTATACAGAGTTTACTTATACACATATGTACTTATTCTTCCCACCTGAAATATGTTATAGTTAGCACAATTTTTTTTTACTGTAGTAGTCTTGGTCTAGTCCAAGACAATCCAACATCTGCATAAGTATTGGAAAAAAAAAACTAATAACTTTTTCGATTGACTTCCGCGAGTTAGTGCAGTTTGACAAACTTTTTTTTTTTAAGTTCGACTCTAAAGTCGGTATCTATAGGATTCGAATTTACAAACATTTTTTTTTTACTTCTTATACATCCTGAAAAGTAGTGGAAACTTTACGAGCTAAGTAAAACACTGAACGTAATTCTCTATAAAATACGTATATGGAGATAAATATATGAAATAGTCAAAGGAGTCCAGTCTAGATACTGTCTGAAATTTCTATGGTTTTGTACCAAAAGGATCTAGACGTATTGTCGTAACTCGTAATTAGGGAAATCTTGCGGCGAATTTTTTATATGTATTTAAAGGTTTTATATACATACAAACACATTCCTTCAGCTTAACAACTAGATTCTGTGTCAACAACCATATTTTAACTGTATTATATGCACACAACAGCAAAATTGTCCAATTCTCACGTAACATAATAAAAAATAATTATATAATTCCTATTTCCTAGAAAATGAATTCCTAATTTTGTCAACTTGGATGTTGCCAATTTGTTTTCGTTGTTTCTGGTCGAGTTGGATTTTCTTGTATCTTTCAATAAAAAGATTTTAGTTGGTTCTTCAGAAATTCAAAAGGAAGTGATTATGATGAATATGGTTAGCTATTCGCTTAATAATGGACTGATTCGGCATGATCTTACAAAATCATGATCTTAAGGATTCAAGTTTTAAAATGATTCATTCCCCAACAATACGAATTTTTTTTAAACGTATAATTATAAAATCCTAATTTTGCAGTTTTGGATGTAATTTATTCATTTTTTTTTAAAATATATGTAATTCCATTTACATACAAGTTTTAGTCTTATTTGACAACGTATATGATCAGCTATTTCAGTTACGTACGCTACTATTCTTTTTTTTTGTAAAGACAAGTATTAGTCCAATTCGACAACTCTATTATGATTTTTTTTTCTTTCAAATTAACAACTTGGGTATATATTTTCTAAAACACCACAAAAGAAGTTATGCTTCCTATAAATGTACAAATGAACAAAGACTTATTTTTTCCTTTCGAGTGAAACGAATTCATGGTGAACCTAAAAACAGTAATTATTTCAACTTTTTGTTTTTTTTTTTTGACATACTTCCATTACTGATTTAATTATGTTAAGAAAAAAAAGGAGTCGAGTTTTGCGTACGCTTAGACTTGGGAATTAAAATTCGATTCACGTGAACGAAGTCACGAACCAAAGTAAACAGCTGTCGTTATTATATATACCGAAAAATAAGTAAGCATGTGTTTGCACATTTCTGACAACTCCTTTTCTTATCTGTCTTTTTTTGCCCTTTCTTCTTTTTTTTTTTTTAAATATATATATTATAAATATTTTCGACCCAAATCGGAAATCAACCGGAATTACAATCAAATTAAACCAAGAGTAAAACTCAAACCGACAGACTAAACTTCGATCCGGCCTGCGGAGGAAAGAGTCACGACGGCAAACAACAAGCAACTAAGCTCTCACCGTCGCACAAGCCGAATCACCGACCCCCACAAAGGCACTAACCCCCTACGACAAACAGCGCTTTCCCTCCGAACTACCTTCTCGCTTCCGCTGCAGCCTCCGCGTCTCATAGCAGCGACGGTAGATCCAAGACTTCTTTCCTCTGATCTCTTTCAGCCATCCTCTAGCGTCACAGATCTGCAGAGTAGTTGAGAGTCAAACTTTCTTTCGAAAGTAAAACGGATCCACCTTTGCCACACTCAACACCGAACCGCTCGAGAAGGCAATTGCTCCACGCCTCGCACTGACAGAGAAGAAGAGATCTAGACTCTCTTAGATCGCCTCGATTTACCGGCCAGATAAAGAGCTTAAACTCAGGGGTCTGCAACGCTAAAAGCCGCCGACGAACCTACAACAGAACACAAGAGAATCGACGAGACAAACCTCCAGGAGTAAGCCATCGCCGGATAACACCCGCTGAACCGAAACAACCAACTCACACTCTCGCCGGCCAAAGCAGAGAAGGAGAAGGAGCAAAGAAACAGCCCACAGGCGGAGAAGGAAACATAACCTTGATTAAAAAAGTTTAATTCGTAATCTTAACACTTTTAGTAAAGCGCTAAATTTTTCAATAGGAAAGAAGTTTCGGACCTTAGACCAGGTCCAGTAGTGGTCCGTTGGACGGATTTGGCTCGAGTTCTTTTTTTAATAGGTCCAGTAGTGGTCCATTGGACGGATTTGGCTCGAGTTCTGTTTTTAATAAGTGATTTTTATTTTAATTACAAAAAAATTTCAAAAAACAAAAATTAATATAAAATTCCGGATGAATCCCATTAACGGATTCACTACTGGAACCTCAAACTTAACCAAAGTTCATCACAAAAACGAAAAAAAAAAATTATTTATTTAATTTGATGAACTCCATCAAGGGATTCACTACTCCACACTGCACATGCTCTTATGACCCATAGATTAGTCTTTATAAAATAAAAAAAATTAAAATATGTAAATATATGTCAATTCATTTGTCTGGGCTTACTGGATTGCGAGGCCCAAATTAGAAGTGAGTTTTGAGAATTGGGCTTTTATATGTTCCCCGAACCATTAAATTATTTTCTCCCTGACCTGTGTTCGACTGTGAGTCTGATACTCTGATGACGCTACTTGGAACATTTTTTTTTTTTGGGGGTCAAGAGACCATTTTTTAGTTAATTAAATTTAACGGTAATTGGTGTTCGAGACGAAAAAAAACGGTAATTCGCTTGTTTTTGAAATGGCAAAATTTACTTAGATGAAAAGAAACTTAACTAGAAACATTATCGGTGTCGCGGATAATTTTCTGAGAAGGAAGAACAATTGCAGCGATGGGTTTATCCGGGTATCCACCACCTTCATCGATGATCAATCTCAGGCCATCGATGTGAAGTTTCCCATGGTGCCCGCTAATTACAATCGTCTGCTTATCATCAAGCTCCTACAAAAAATGTTTCAGAAAAAAACAAAAATCATACTAAGAGATTTCAAAACTGTCTTAATACACAAAGTTTGGTTTCTTTCGATATTTTTACCTGTGGGATGTCCCAAACGTTTTTCCGACCACTTAGATATTGTATTTTCGAGATGCTTGTGTCTTTCACTCTCAAAAGCTTTAGTTGTTCGTCTATGCCATTCCCTTTCTCCAAACCAGCATGTACGGCAATTAGCTTACAATGCTTTAGCCCTTCCTCGGTTTCTATACAAACATCTTCCTGCAAAGAGATTCAACGAAATGGACACAATGATAGCTATTACTGCACTTTTTCCAGCGAATTAAGCTTAAACCCGCTAAAAAAGACACACTTCGTCGGAATTAGCATGGCTGTAATTTTCTAACGGGTTGCAAGAGATTGATCCATAAGTCCAAAGTTCGAGTTTTTATGGTTTCCTCAAACTACTGTTCCTCCAAACAATACACAAAAACAAAATGGTAGGAGAAAGAGCCCTTACCTCTTCATGGACCCATACCATATTGGTCAAGAACTTCTTGTGACTCTCTGGTACTGCCTTCATCAAATCTATCAAGTAAAATCAAACGAACGAGTTTCACAAAAACTTGCCAAAAGATTCCAGAAAGTGTTCTAAGATGTCACATTTTCACCAGCAGAAAGATGGGCATCATGAGAACTCCAAATCGAGAAGGATTCATTTTTCGGTTAACCAAATTGCTCTAAATTGAAATGTGAACAGATCCACTCGAAGCAATTTACAGTTCTATAACCATGGAGAAGAATGTAGAACACACTGATTGAGAATTTTTTTACCAGAAGATCCATGAGGAACGCCATACGATTCAAAAGTGGACCCAGCATCATAAATCGATCCTTTATAAGCCATCCCTTTAACGGAATTGAACTGAGCCTTGATTTTGCCAGCCCATCTCCTACCTTGGAGATGCATTTCCTCGAAGCCTTCACCTCTATACCATCCTTCTCTCTCTTCGCTTTCCTCGTACTCCTTCCACGTGTCCTTCAAATCGGTCCCATCTGAAGGACGGGGCAACAAACCCAAGAATCCGGCGAAGGCGAAGTCGTGGTTTCCGGCGAGAAAGACGTGGGTCTGGTCGGGGTGTTTCTCCGGCAGAGAGATTAAGAAGTCGATGACTTTTCGGGTCTCCGGTCCACGATCGCAGTAGTCTCCGAGGAAGATGACGAGAGCAGAGCTGAAATCTGATGGGTTGAGGGAGGATTGGAGATTTGACCAGAGATTATTGAGCTTCGATATGTATCCATGGATGTCTCCGACGCAGATCACCGTTCGTGGCTCTTGCGCCATTAGTCTCTCTTTTTTGTTGTTTTTTCTTAAAATGATAACGCACTTGTGGTTTTATGGGCCTTGGATGTGGCTTGCCGCTTGATGATTATTATTTTTTTCTTTTTCAAAAGGGAATAAATTCGTCGTTAATATTATTTTATTCTTAAAATGTGATCTTAATACAATTTAGATTAGTTTTCATTTTCTTCTAAATTGTCTTCCTCGTAAGTATGATAATAAGTCCATTGGTGTTTTTTTTTTAAAGTCTATTGGTGTATCTAAACATTTTTCTACTCGTATACCACTAATTCACATTTGTCCTAAAACGTACATGTACTGATCCTTTGTCGTAATTAGCATGGCTGCAACTTTTTAATGGTTTGCAGGATATTTATGAATAAGTATTTTTTTTTGCTTGACAACCAAAAGCATTCTAAATAAAACTATATCTTAATTTTTGAAAGATTATTTGGTGGTGCAAACCATATGTTTTTGGTGGTGTAAACTGTAAAGCATATGTTTTATTTTGTGAGGGTTTACTTCAGTCTTCAGGACGAGCTAGTTACGGGGTGATGCCAAAACCGTGTCTACAATGAAATGAAAAAGGCAATCGCCTAAAACTACATCTTATTTATTAAGTTTAGAGGCCACATTTAACAAGTGAATTATAGTTTTCTTAGTTGACTAATTTGTCTTATGCATATTTTTATTTTGTTCAAGTTCGATCCTCAATCGCATAAAAGTATAATTATTTTTTTACCAAATTTTTTAAAAATATTACTGTACATTTGATTACTAAATTTTTATATAATTTCATTAAAAGGGTCATATTTTAATTTTAGCCTAAGGCCTCCAAAATCTTAGACACGGCACTGGGTGGTGCAAAACACCAGAAAAACATAATAAAACTGACTTCTCGTGATGTATATATTTTATTCGTTTTAAGTTTTAAAAATGTATAAGATAAAATTGCTGCAACAATCCTTCTAGAATTCAGTCATCTTCTCACGTTTCCCACCGTTACAGATATTTATTAAAATTTTCCTTTGTGATTACTATAAAGTTCTTTGTGTAAATGATATGTACATTCGTAAACGGAAACACAAGGTATAATTGAATGAAACGGACGTAAAAAAAAAAAAAAAAAAAAGATGAATGAAACGGTGACGTATATATAGACAGCCAGTAAAAGGTCTGCAAGTAATGAATTCCGTAATTACGGATGTCTCACTCTTTATTAACCACGCACGCAATTCATTCATACGTACACTATATGCCCTTTTTACGGGACTCTTCACCAAACGCTACTTGCTTACTAATTTACATATTCCCCTTTCTGGTAATTTTTTGTTTTTGTTGTATATTATTCGGTATTGTTTTTAATCATATTAATCTCGTCAATAATTGAATCCCAGATCATTTTCACCCTCTTCCTTCCTTAATCAAACTAGTGAGGTGCCATAAATATAGACGTTTATAATGATAAATTAAAAATAAAAATAGTATCCATCCATGTAATGTGTCCTTTCTTTTGCTTCACGTAAGCTCGCAATCTCGCATCTCTCTCCATATATATAAACACACAAGAAAGACAAGCAATCATAAATCAAAATAAGAGAGAATAAAAGAGAGGAGAGAGAGATGGGCAAGGTGGGATGGCTTCTTAATCTTCTTAGCCATGCCAACAAGCAAGAAGGTGTGGAGAATCTTGACAAAAACGGTACCGTAGAGGCCTCAAGCAGTGGGTTTAAGATGCCGCTGCATTACCCAAAATACACAAAGGATGATTACGAGAAGATGGAAGAGTGGAGATTGGATTTGCTTCTATCAGACTACGGACTCCTTGCCTTCCATGACAATACTCTCCACGAGAAGCGTGCTTTTGCGATGGAAACTTTTCTATGGCCTCATCCGTAATATAGTATCGGAGGGAGAATTTTAGAGAGACGACAGATCGGAGGAGTTGAATTAAAAACCGGGATATCATTCTACCGAAAATATTATGGGAAGATTCTGCTTTATTTATCATTCTTGATACTAGCTCATGTTCTTTTCTTTTCGATCTATTTATGTTTAATATATAAGTTTTGACTTTGTATGTATATTTTGCTCAATAAAAATGTAGTTCTATACCCCTTGTCTCATGGTATTGATCAAAGCCTTTATCTAGATCTTCCGTGAATGATATTGAGTCAAATTAAGCCTTCATGTTGTGTTTTCTTTATTTTTGTTGTGATAGATAGAACTAAAAGAAAGTGATAAGAATATAAGATCCATTCAAGAATAACTAAGGACGCAAAATGTTGGTATGCCTTGAATCTCTGATCTTGACGGTATAGGATATTTTATATATGAACAGCAGTTTCAGCTTAAATGCTCTTCTTAAATATTGGACTTTTACTCTAAGTCTTCTTGTTCACTCTAATTTATGTTGAATTCTGAAACGATATGTTATTACGCCTCTAGTATATAATAAAATCGGCGTCTTTTTGTTAGCAGACATCGTTGGTGAATTACATAAATCGGTTTGTGTGCTTGACATAATCGTTGGTGATATGAATTACATAAACCGTTGGTGTAGCAATATAAATACTCGCGATGTAATATTGCTTTTATGAATTGACGGTCCTTATAACATGGACCAACTCATGTTGAGACTTGAACCTTTGAGCTTGACTCAAAACTCTCTGTAATACAAACACAAACAGAGACAAATGTTACTAACACAACTGACTGAAGTGTTAGAAAACACCAATAAGACGAACACTAAGTCTCACTCTTAAATCAAAACGTCTCTGAGATTTTCGCGTAAAAGCGAGTATACGGATCTCCATCCTTCTTCGGTCGGATGAAAGACGTCCCAAAAGAAGGAAGTCTTTGGATCTTGACAAATTGTATACTTCCTCACGCCATTCTTGTCCACGTTTGAGCACGTGTAATTGCTTGTAACCCCGACACAACACGGTTTCAAAGGGTCCACAAACCTCGTAACCCCTAAGCGATTCACAAACTTCGTAAGACATGCATCACAAAAAGAAGAAAAACATTTTATAATCCAAAATTTCAGTTTCCTTTTTGAATTTACCTGGTTCCGCTCTTTTATTCGTGAGGACAGTTAAAAAGGCATTGTAGAGATCAAGAATGACGAAAGTGGATGGCTTGGTCTCATTGTTAAGCTTAGCCACGGCTTGGTGCAACAAAGTATTGTGAAGTTTCACCAACGCGTTATCTGATGCGTTGCAACGTTGGAATGAAGTAAAGGCGGTGCTGCTAGGGAGGCATCCGAGTGGCTGCAGTGAAGCTATTGCTATCTTCTTCACTCCCAACTTGTGGATGCGTCTCAAGTTTACCTCTGTTTGATCAACCACTTGCTTGATGAATCCCAAGAACTCCTGCAAGATATAATTCGCGCCTATGTTTACAAATTACATGTTAAATTCTATATTGCGGTTATACCTTCAAACCAAAACACAACTAATGTTTTCATGTTTCGTAATTATCAAACATATTTTAAAACATGCAAACGCAAACACAAACTCAAACGGGACGGGGAATCATGTTCGTATTTCACTTTACGCTTACGATTACTAAATTAACTATTATGCTTTTTTTAATTAAATATTGACAACTACTGTTTTATTTAGATAAAAAAATAATGATGTTTACTTACGGTCATGGGGCGTTTTTGTTGCATGAAAGTGGCGTAGTCGTTGCCGGCGACGCTGACGAGAGCAAGGGAGGAGGGGAGGTCGGAGGGAGAGTAGATGTTTCCGACAGCGAGGACTTTTTGGAAATAATCAATCTGAGTAGTCATGTTTGGCAATGGATTATTGAAAGTCTTAAACACTCCTGTCCCTCCGTACGCATAATTCATACCATACAACAGCCGTTCCTTTCCCGCGTAATTCTTCCACGTGTACGGTATCGGTGATTTTATCCCCAAGTACCTTGCTGCACACACAAAAGATTTGGCTAAGAATTTGAGCTTAACCTAAGAAAATGGATCACTTTGAATAAGCAGGATAATTCGACCACCATATTTGTAAGTCATTATATGTCATCAGTTATAAACCATGCAACACAGTCACATTTTATTTCCGGTGAGGTTTGTTTCTTTAGAATAATTTCTTGAACTTTTTATTTTTTAAAATTTAATGAGATTAAAAGTTGGATCTTAAGGAGCATAAAAAATGATGTTCAATTGTTTTGGTGGAGAATTTTTTTCTTAACATCATCAAAATGATACTTTAATCGAAGACTGAACTAGATACTTAAATTTCCACTTCAGTAATTTTGATGGCTGGTTACACTATGCTCATAACTTTTCCTTTTTTCGATAATTAGAAAGTTGATCCAAATAACCTAGCAAAACAACATGGTTAGAGCCCATAATGTAGTGTTTGTTAGTGTTGGTGTTGAATCTGGTGGCCGACCACACGATCCATTCGACCATTCCACATTAATTTTGACAAAGAAATATGAAAGAGAAAGAGAGAGAACCTAGAAAATCGGTGGCGACGCGGCCATCGGAGAAACGACCGGAGGGTTTTCCGGGAAAACTGACGCCGTAAGGAATTTTCCAGGAATCGGAGAGAGATTTCCTTATGTTTCCGGTGTCTGTATAGGAATCCCCGAACACGAACAACCTATTCGGTCTCAAACGCTTATTATGCTGAAGATGATCCGATTCGGCACCTTCAAAACATTAATTTATTTAGTATTGGATTCAGGGAATCTATTTATGTGATCACGAGCTTTACGTAAGAATTAATGTAAGTATATAAATGTATATGTTACCTAAGAAGAAATATGAGAATGAGAAGAGAAAGAGAGAGATGAATAGTTTTAGAGACTCCATTATTTTTTGTGTATTAAGGTATCAGATTCAGACCAAAAGACTCTCTGTTTGTGTGTGTGCATGTGTGTGTGTGTGTTTTGTTGTGTTAAAGGACAAAACGTGGAAGAGAGAAAAGAGGAGGAAGAAAGTATATATGTGGTGTGGATAAGTTGAAGGAGGAGAGACCTTGGGGAATTTAGTGATTTATTTCCCTTTCTTTACAATGTCTTTTTGGCTTTATATAGTGAATTACCAACAGTTTTCTGTTTGTTTCTGAAAAAACTTTAGATAAAAAAAAAATAAAGATTTGGTCTATTAATTAAGCTCGTAGTTAAATAATTTAATCAATTTATTAATTAATATATATTTCAAATAAATTTATATCTTGAATGCTATAATATAAATGAAAAAATAAGTGGAATGTTTGTATCTTGTAATATAATTAAAAATGTAATTTTAGTGGTCTGGGCTACTAAATTCGAACCTTATAAAATGAACTTTGATTCTGCTTAAAAATTTTTTTACTGTTATAGAAAGCAACTTTTTCTGCTTTAGAAATTATCATTTCATTTAAACCACAAACTATTGATTATGATTAATTATAAGACATCCATATGTCAACTATATGGATTGTGTTTTACTATTACACAACACAAGCTTTGCCACGTCACATGAAAGCACATAAACCATTTAGTGATTTTGATGACATATGGATACTGAAAGCTTTTCTCACGGTTTTGAATCCAAAAGATTATTTGTAATACGTTGCTGTCGATCACTATAAATTTTTTACAACTATTTTCTTTTATTTTATTATGTAGGTTACAAAAACTATTTAATTATTTTTAAAACTATCTATATACCAACTTTTATCAATTATTTTTATTTATATATATTTATATGATTCATGATCCTAAATATTTATTGGTGTTACAATTCCTAATAAAATAACTGCGATTAGTTGAATGGGCCGGATTTTATGTCAAATATTTGTGCAAGTGTAAAACCCTATATGAACAGGATCTGTTTTAAAGTTCATTTTATATACTAATATATACTATAATATCTTTCTTTATTTTATCAAAAAGTATATATACCATAACATCAATGGAATATTATAAGGTTTTTAATCAAAAAAATGTGAGACCATTATACTATATGGACCGCACGTCTAGAGGTAGTGCTCTTCCACACATATGACATAATCTCCTCATTAACCAACAAGTCTCAGTATTTATACTATATATAATACAATTATTATATATACCAAGTCTTTCTTACATCAAAAAGCATAATCCCAAAATCATCGAACCCAAAAAGGTCGACAAGGGTCGTCATGGCGCAGAGAATCACGACATTGGTTCTGCTCATAGAAATATTGTTTCTGGTAAATTATATTAGTCAAATCACCACGACCGCAGCTGAAAACGACGCAGATGTCATTCACGTCGCCGGAAAAGTAATGTGCCAAGATTGCACTCTTAACTACGACAAATGGATCAATGGTTCTGAACCCATCAAAGGTATTGTTTGCTTCTGATAAATTTGAACTTTTCATGTATTCGGAAATGTAAGAAAAAATAATGGTATCCCACAAAACCGTTGTCTCTTACTTACCATATATATCTCTTTAGATCTTTCTGCATGCTTCTAAATAGTTCGTCCTCTCTTACTAAACTTTACACTTTGTATCTTCAAGGAGCTGTTGTATCAATCACTTGTATGGACGAGAGGAGAAGAGTGAGATACTATGGCAGCGACAAGACCGATGAGAGAGGCCAATTCGATCTTATCGTCAACAGAGTCCTCTACGGCGGAAAGGATCTCAAGGCTCATCTTTGTAAAGTCCGGCTCGTATCTTCTCCAGATCAGTCATGTAACATTCCGACCAATTATGGTAATGGTCAAAGCGGAGTAGAACTAGTTCGACCTCTCATGGTTTTCAAGGATCTGGTTAAGTTTGTGGTCGGGCCATTTTATTATACCACCCCCATGTGTGAGACCCCTAAATTTGAAAACAACTACTAGACTTGGAGAGGGTTTTGACTTTTTGATTGACGTCATTTTATTGTCTATATACCACCCCCGTGTCATGTGTGGTCCTTTTTTTTTATTATTACAAATACATAAACATCAATTATAATACGTTTTTCCTTGTAATATAACTGTCTTTCAATTGATAGTTTGACTTCTAATCAATTACCATTTTAAAAGTACTGAAAGAAAATTTGAAAATAACAAATAGCAGAAAACTGCATGGAACCTTTTTTTCCGGAGAATAACATTTTTCCCAAAAGATATCAAAAATACCATTTTTCAAAAATTGTATATCTCATAGATTTTTCTTAACCAAATTAGCATATGTATATATATGGCAAAAGTTAAATTATTTTTGTTGCAAGCTCATCGTACGTATTTGAGTTTAAATTGTGAAATAAAGACAGCATTGGGACAAACCGTGGCCTATAAAAGTTTTTTCATATTCTCATATAATTTTACAAAAACCTTACTCAGATCATTCAATTATTAAGGTTTTAGTTATAGAGTACTGATGACAATGGTTAAAAATGAATGACTTGTGTCATAATAATAAAAACTATACTAGAGTTTTAAATTTACTTTGTTTTTTGTTAGAGGTGTTTAATCTGAATTTTAAATGTCAGATTGGGTTTAAATTCGGCTTTGATATTTTGGATAACGAAAATTCAGATTATATTAACTGAGTAATCGTTGAATCATTAAAAATGAACACTCATAGTTTGTTGTACTTGTAGTGCTAGTTGCATGTTCTAAAGGCGATATTTTTATGTTTGGTCTAAAAAAAAGGACAGAAATCACTATAAAGATATTCGAAAACAAATTTTGACTAAAATATACACATATTTGGCCTTACCTTTTTTTTTGGTTAAAGGTTTTTTTGGCCTCACTATTCTCCAAACTTATATCAATTATATGGCAGAAGATCTCGAATAAAATAAACACCCGAATATTATATCTCAAATCCGAATATTCTTTTATTCTCTCACACGAAGAACATACCATGGGAGTTGATACAGTTAAAACACACACAAAATGAAGATAAACAAAACATAGAGAAGAGAAAAGGATCAGAGAGAGTGAGAGAGAGAGTATTACAAAGTAAATTCATAATCTGCTGATTCCGAGGGGAACCGAAGCTTGCCAAAGGATAGAAGTTGCCCAATTTCTAGAGGGAGATAAAGAAAACTCGCTGTCTGAATCAGCTGTCTATTCATCATCAGCCTTCTGCAATCATTATTGCTCCATATCTTAAAACATTTTCCTTACGAGAACACAAAACCACTTAACTACACATTTTCCTTTTTTTTTTTCTTGCATTTAGGCCATCCCCTAAAGATACACCTCTAGATAAATCAGAGGATCTTTACCTTAGGGGATGGCCATTTTCTTTTAATTTGTGGTGTTGTGCCAAATTAAGAGAGGTCTCATCAATGGAGGCTTGCTAGGGGTTTTTATAGCTTTTATTTTTCTTTTGTGTTTTTTCTTTGTCTATGGTCATGAAGACATCTTACATAAGCTATAGTGTTCTTTCGACTTTTTCTCCTTTCTTTTTCATTTTTTAAAAGACAACTTTTGTAACAAATCACCCAATATATATATTTTTCTCTTTGTAACAATGGTTTAATATATTTTATGTTTGTCAATGTTCATTATAAAAGATATACTCGTATATATATATTGTTAATAGATCGATGCAGGACGCTATGTTTTGGAATAATATACACGCATTTATTCTGTATTTACAAAATTTTGCATGCTGAATTACACAATAAATAATATCTGAAAATTTCTCCAATGTACGAGTTTAGGCTAAAGCCTCCTGGTATAAGGTTCTGAAAGGTATTTTTGTAAGGACTTTACGATAAAATTTGTGAAAGGAGAAAAAATGGAGATATATTGCTTAAAGGTGAATAATTTAAAATAATGAAATATGGTATAAAGAGAGTTTGAAAGTACTTTGAAAATTCACACATATATATATATATACATATATATAAGTGGAAGCAGATGATGGAAAATAGGGGAGTATTACGTGCATATGCTTGGAATTTTGGATCATCTCATGGAATATGCCATTATCAAAGTTGCCTTTTCAGAAATATACACTCATCTGATGACATACACAATAATCAGGTATTTATTTATTAGATACTTTTTCCTAAAGCTTTTTATTAAATACTTGATCAGGTACAATACCTGACGTACAAAATTTTAGAGTTTTTGTTATGTGAGCTCGATACAACTATAGCTATAATTTAAAATTTTCTTTTGAACGTTTAATTATTTTTTTAGAATAGTTGACATGTTACTATATCAGAAATCTAAAATTCAATTGGAAATTTTAATATATTTGAAAAAACAAAATTATAAATTTAATAAACATTATTCTATGATATTTATTTTCTTAGTATACAATAAAAAAAATTCCTCGAGACATACATTCATTTTAAACTCTCATGATAATAAAACCATTTCATTTCGTAAATTTTACATCCGTATATGAAATTCACCTGTAATTTGGTTGTTAACTATTCTCCTAAGTTGGATCCACCTAGTTTGACCCTAAAAAGAAGTTGGATTGATGGATTCACCCTAGTGAATTGATGGGCTCCTGCTCAACTTATACAATCAATAATAGCCCCAATATTTTACAATGCATAATGGTTAATTCTTAAATTAAATGAAATAATCGCTGTGCAGATATCAATATTTAGCTATGTTTATTTGTGTATAAAAATCCAAATATACGAAAATAAAAATTACAAATTATATAGAGATTTGAATTTTTCTAAAGACCAAATTAAAATGTTCATGACCGCAAGTCCTTCGCTTCCAGTAACTCCATCATCAACAACCGAATATGCTGTGTTTACTAATCGAATTGTTGCAAACAATAGAATCTGGAAGCCCTATGAGCCTTAAATCTCTCAAATGAGCGAAATTCTGTCATGTTGGGCTTCACAAACCCAAAGTTATTGACTAGTAAAATTAAAAAGGAATAAAGCATGCATATATATATATATATATACATACTGTATGCATATATGTTTGGTGGGGATTGAGGAACCCAACTGAATGTGACAGGCGAATACATGCATGATCAAAAGTTTTGTACGATGTTTTGAAATCAAACAAGAGAATGATGTTCTGTCTCTTTAATAATGCTCCTTTGTCCTCCGAATCTTAACGCAGGTAGATGGGATTTGCTATGTTTTTTTTGGTGACCCTTAAGTACTCTTTTTACTGTCATTTAATAAAGTTTAAAGGTAAATTTGTAAGTTCAAAAGGTAATTTATAGAGTACAATTCTCAGAAATCCCACACTTTATATTTTAGTTTCCACAAACACTATAACTTTTAATCGAAAAAACACACTATAACTTCTCAAATTTACAGAACTACCACTGTTCTATGAAGAAAATTAACCCATTATTTTTCCAAATTATTTATAGAAACCGCAAAACAAAACTCTGACATACTAAAATACTAATATCTGAAATTTTACAATCGTTGTAGTAGTTTTGAGAGTATATTTTATTATTGTATGATTTTAGGGTAATGCTCTTTTAAGTTAGGCCATATTTATAACTTTGATGTGGCATTTTTCTTGAGACATTTTCGCTTTGTTGGGGCATCCTTTTATATATGATAATTTCCCCAACATCTAGTTTTCTTCAAGAAATAAACAATATAATCGATCAAACCGCTACCATACGGTGTGATATATATATATATATATATATAGACTAGCCATAAAATGGTAAATGACTGAATGAGGTCAATCATACAAGCACTAATTAGAATTTAATTAGAAGAAGTCTTTGACGCATCTAGTTTTCCCTTAGAGATATTATATTGAGGTCCCCTACTAGCATTAGGACAAAAAAGAAGATTATCACTAAGCAATTAGGTCATAATCCACATGATATTGTAATCTATAGTTAACTAAGTTATCTACCAATATTTGAATGTGATTAGATATTGATGTCTCCATAATATAGTTTAATTCCCACAATATATATAATAATAATATTTATGATGTCTCAAAAATGATATCTATATAGAATATGTGTACTAGATTGCAATCCACGAAAAGTACGTTCATCAAATTTTAAACCAATAAATGATTTTGTAATGACTCTACATGCAAAACAAAGCAATGCATCTGTAGAGATTTTATTTTCAAGTTTTACAAAAATATAAAAAAAAACATTGAAAAAGTAAAATTTTCATCCAACTGCGACGTGGACTTAAAACTTTTTAATCTATCTGCAGGAAACATTAAAAATATTTGGTCGCTTTTCGTGGTTCATTACGGCACACAATTAACATGCAGTATGATCCAGACTAGTCATCGGGATCGTATATTATCAGCAAAACAGAAATACAGAATAAAAAACAATCATACGAAATAAAATACAGAAAATTGTAATTACTTGCCAAACATAATTTCGGTTTTTTATATTAAAATAAAACTCGTAGTCAAATAGGCCATGATCAACTTTTGTAACCAACTTGAATGAACGATAATTGTTAGTTGTTACTGTCGTCGGCAGAACCCATTTTTTTTTTTGTAATCGCCTGAAGAATGCAATGAAAGTGACTACACGGACCTAACACTAAATTAATTACCCCTTAATAATTATTGGTCTCATAAAAGTAATTACTTTTAGTCTATTCTACGTGATGCATACAAATGTGCACATCAATCCTGGGGCCAACAAATTTATATCAGATTAATTTTGTAAAAAGGTTGATTTACAGAAATATATATATATATATATATATACACACATATACATACATAATGACAAATGGTGATTGATTTTTATTACAATAATTTGTCAACTAAACATATGAACAAAATTGGTTTGGTCGGCATCTAGAGAAGGAAATATCCACCTTTAAGAAGACCTCGCAACAGTTATATGAATCTATTTTACATTATATATCACAAGGAAACGTCGTTCTCTAATGAATGACTGATTTTTTTCTTTTATGTTTTACACTGCCCTTTTTATTAGAATTTAATGGTGGTAAGTATCTTGTTAGATTCCGGATGTAATTTCTTTAATAAACGTTCAACATGTTAAATAGTTTTTATATATGTTAAGACTTCCGTGGTAGCCACGTGTATTGTGCACTAGTCACTTTCACGTGTATTGGGCAAATATTTTTACCAAGACCTCTAGCTAATTTTATTTGTCCAATATGCTAGAAAAGGTATTTGTTAATATGAAAAATAAAATAATAGAGGAAAATATCTTATAGATCTGCGGCAAATATCACGTACCTACAATTTATGATTATATAAGACTTCAACTTGCAATTGCTGTAACATAATTATATACGCTTACATCACTCGCTTGGATGCATGCATAAAACACCCCTGGCTGTAGTTTGGTGGTACTTGATAATTAAGAGGCATATAAACATTTGTTCTCTCTTCTAATTCGACTGTTATTGGAAACAAAACAACCTGTGTTAGACAAGTTGACTGTGAACTTTAAGTCTTTAATCCATATATTTCATATGGTGTGAATCATGTGGTTGTTGTACTTGTACCCATTACATATTCCGAAATTAGTTGGACTCTCGCTAAAATCACCCGAGTTATTAAAAAAATGGACTTATTGACATAATTCGAAACATGGTTGTATCTGAAAACAAAAGGCAAAAAACTAATATTTGGAACTAAATGAAATTATAAGAATAAACTTTGCTAAATGCGTTAGTAAATTTCTTAAAAATAGGAATTCTAAGGGTCAGTTTCTCTAATCCGTGATGTACGTTAATTTAGGGGCGTATACTTCTTTTTCGACGAATTAATTACTGTTTTAATATCTATAGTCCTACAGACTATAGTACCATGAAAACTTATGCAAAACGAGAAGTTATCTTTTTAAGTAGGGTGGTGAGACTCAATTCAGAGAGAGCATTATCCTAGTACCAAACAATACAAGTTCGAAATATTGCTTTAGTCACACAGTTATCAAGATTTTCCAGAAATGAGAAGGTATCTTGTACTTGAAAGGAGTGGAGATCGAGTCATTGGTCCATTGACATTGGGTTTGTCATAGTTGACAGTTTCGAAGGTTTATTTTTATATATAACGGGTATACTTAATCCAATCAAGAAAACAATAGAAAGCATATTTGTGAATTTTTGATAAAATATTATAATCTGTCGTTATGTTCTACATTGTGACTTGATGAAACTTACTGTTTCAATAATTGAAGCTTTTTTTTTCTTTTCTTTTTGTCGATCGTTGTACGAGAGTAGTAAAAATAGCCTCCGGCATCATCATATATATCTGATCTTCGACATTTTTTTTTTTGCCACATTCTATCTCATAATTACATGCATTTTTTTTGAATGAATACAACCTATATTTTATATAAAATTTTCTACGTTATCAAAATATCAAACATCTTAAAACCAAAAAAAAAATTTCACACATGCATGTATTAGATATGACAGATATGATAAGAAAAAATGAGCCGTATGTTAAAATACTAAAATTTTAAATTTTTTCATTTAACTTTTCAAACAACATAAGATCCCCGTTTGATAATGCAGTATACTCTCGATTGCTAATTTACTGAATATATTCCTCTCGTTAAAATACAGTTAATTTAAATAAATTAAATGATTAATGATGAAGAATGTTTTTTGGTCTCGCATAATTAATTAATAAATTAAAGTAATAGTGGAAACTGGAAATAACAA